AAGGCATGATGTCATTTAACTGTACACATACATATATACAAATTATCTTGCATTTTACCAAAGGTTATCATGCAATGTTCCAACGGTATAACTTGCAGACAAAGACGGTCTTTAATACGAGCATCAATGTATTACAGTGTCAAAGTACGTGGGATGTTAAGAACGTTGCACCACATATAAAAACCTTGGTGTCCATGCCTTCACTCACTGTCTAGTAAAAACTATGACAAACGCACATACAGACAAGACATAGAACAGAACAATATCAGTCATTGAATAACTCACATCCATTTTTGTTCGCCATTCCTGGTACACGAAGACACATAAAACAATGAAATTAACATTAGTTGCTGAGCATCACTGCCAGGTATAAAAATCAGCTACAGTGTTTCCATTCTCGATTTATGTTTAACTTTACCAGGATATATATATATATATATATATATATATATATATATATATATATATATATATATATATATATATATATATATATATATATATATATATATATATATATATATATATATATATATATATATTTGTTTACGTGTTCTATGTGTTAGTTTTAATATATTTTACATCGACGAAAGGATTTTTTATATCATGCAGTTTAGACGCCATGCTTAAGTTTATGTTATATAGTATTTAGTTTACTCCTTCACTGCTTAGTCTTGATCAACTGGTGGGCCAGTATTTGATTTAATACATTTCCCTGACAGTCATCTGTAAAACTACAACCTATCGTAATGCATGACCAGTATCACGCTAGCAGTCACATGCTATTGTTGACAACAATGCTATTTGTCAGTGATAGGGATGTTTCGGTGGCTCGGAGAGCCAAGGGATACTCAAAGAGTAATGATTTAATTACGGTAAATTCACTAAAACGGTAATGATGAGGACACAAGTCTGACACCTCTTGGGACACTATGCCGAGAGTGAGAAAGACGTTATTAATTGGCCTTGTATAAATACCTGAAACAATGACTCTCACTTATGAATTGGGACACTGAATAGGCAGAGATAATGACACGGCATTGACAGTGAGAAGCAGACTGGACTGACAGTGACAGACTGGCAGTGACAGGAACCCGGAGAGGGAACTTCGGCAGACGCAGGTTATGATCATCATGCACATTTATAGATGTGAACGGCAGGAGGCTGTCAGGCAGCGTGTGCTCATGTGGTGCCTTAATGCAGTACCCAACAAGGACGTCCCTTTCCTCACACTTCCTCACAACACACTTCCTGCATCACTATATACACTTTAGGAGTGAGTGCCACTGTGGTTGGCTGTATTAAAAGGTGTATTATTGGTAATGGCAATACTGGGAGATAGTGTTTTGACAAAACAACAGAAGGATAATTGTTCGAGTCACAGGGCCATCACTCATATGAGTATAAATAGCAGTGCTCATGGTTATGGGACACAAGGCTGAGGAGCTTTTACATGATGGGTATCCATCATCCTTGGACGAATTTGACTGAACAAGGAGTGATTCTACCATCAAGGTAAGGGGACGTCCTTCAGGGCACCCAAGACGCGCAATTGGCACTCAGGACTCACCGACAACACCCGAGGGCCGAGCGATTCCTGCCGGGGATGGTACAGTGTCACAGGAGGTCAATCTTAGAGATCATGTGGTTAAGTAATCAGTTTAAGCAATCGGTGCTGCAATATCTCAAGAGGAATTTAACAGAACTGCTACGAAATATGTGAATCTGGATAACCTCGTCCTGATCGGTTATGATTAGCAAAGTGCTTAAGGGCAACACATTCAAGAAATATTAAGAACAAATGCTTAAAGAAGGCTTTCTACCATCATTGTTTGGTATATAAGATGGTGATGGAGGAACAGGAGTGCATATCATAATATAAGAGAATCCCCTCTACTAGAACAATGTAATTTATCAAATCAAGATAGTTCTGCATCATCATTGGTGTGAAGAAGTACTGTATACTGTTAGAAGATACTTTCATTATACCAAGCATTAAACCTGCCCTGGGGAAGAGGAGTTGGAGAAAGTTATGATTTGAATAATAATAAAATTTTTTTAACTAAGCCATCAGAGCAACCATTAAAAATGTTGTCTGGCTATTTTGATCTTTTTCCATAGATTAGATAGCCTGGACAACTCAGATTCCGATTGGTTAAAGCTCCCAGATTCAGTGTTTTCTTCCCGACTCCTATAGTGAGATACTATCTTGACTTTGTTGCTTCAGCTGCTTGAGGAAGACATCTAACTCGACACAGTAAAATTTTGTGTAACTCAGGAGATGTTTAGACATGAATTTGGTAATATCTCAGCTGATGATAATTCATATGTTGACCGACTCATGACTTGCATGAATCGCTGGTACAATTTTGTCTTAGTCTTGTCAGTTGTATGATTGGCCACTGTGACTCTGTTCCCTGGAGAACTACCATCAGCACTTTAGTTCTCCACTCCCTCCTCAATATAGCGCCTCTTTATAATATTAGTTTGCCATTTCAGCAAAGTGTTGTCCCCTTCACAGAGTGCCACCAGGCAAGTTTAACACGCTCCCTTACATAACGGCCTCATGAAAATTTAGTAAACCAATTCATCTCCCTTCAGCACATCTATCCAAGACTCCCCGGGCCTTCATATCACAGCTCTGTCTTGTAACTGCAACAGCTTTACTCAAGTCATTGCTTGGTCATGTATACTATAGGCAGTATCACCCCGAAATAGGTCCTCATTATCATAAGGACTGTGTGAATTATTACGAACATGAACTTAATAAAATAAAAGGGATGAAACATTTTTGTTTACATGAAGTTTCTCTTATAGTTGTCATAGTGCAAGACTTTAGTAAGTATCAAAGTTTAGTTATCAAGACAATAGTGTCTAGACATTTGTGTCAATGATGATATCAAATTTTTAAACTTTTTCATTCTGTTTCAAATGTGACTCGCCTTAAATGTAAGCAAGATCAATTTTGTATTTATAATAAAGGTAAACAAGATCCATGATCTCCTGAGTGAATTAATAACAGAACTAAAAACTTAGCACTGTGACCAGCACTGACTCCTACCATCTTTACTTCCTCAAATTAAAAGTTAGGTACCTGTACTGTACTCATTTAAATTTGGGTGGACTGGAAGGACTCCCAGGATCGAATGAGTAACCAATCAGACAAGAGGCAAACATTTCATTCAGTCAGCTGTTGCAGCTCTTTACTCACATGTGAATATTGTATAAATTTCAGTGTGGCAACCGAGGTTAATGAACCTTCGTTGGCGTGTAGTAATACTGATAACTCAAAAGCAGAGTTAAACATTTCCATAACATATCGGTGGGTCGCCAAGTTCCTGTATATTGTTGTTTTTATGTATTTCCGCATTTCAATGAATGAAACATTTAAGCGTAAATTATAATTAGGTCCATACACTAGACAACTATAAAAATTAATGACCTGGGCTCTTCATTTGCGTTAAAACTTCACAAGGCCTGAAGTCCTCGACAAATAGTGAGTGCGACTCAGGACATATGGTTCATCCTTTGGGCGAAATAGTAGTTTGTTTACATCTCAATAATAGAGCTATGGTAGAGACTTTGTGTTATCAAAGTGTAAATGCACAGTTTTCTTCTCTATTACCTTAGGTGATATATCCACCTGTCCAGCAGAAAGACAGAGTATGACTTATAACATACGGGGCATCGTCTGAGACAACGAAATCCAAGTAATTCTTGTACCTGTAAGGTAAGAGTCTCTCTCATGCTAAAAAGACATTTTCATGGCCGTGGCTCAGACCAGGATCATAAAAAAGCGCCAACGACGGGAGAATCCTGGCATATATGTGCCTGCTGTCACTAAACTCTCTACAGCACAGTCACTATAGGGTGTTGACAGGGAGTGCCGGACCTGCTGAACGCCTGTACCGTTCTTCATATATTTAAGGTATTGACATTAAACCCATAACCTTGAGCTCCAAAGCCGGTAAATTAACCACTTGGTCAAATAGTTCGTTTCATTTTAAAATGGATTATATTTATGAATGGTTAATACATACTACAAGGCACTTACAAGACAATTTGTCTCCTGTTAATTGTTAAAATTGGTTTTAATCAATCATAATCAGCCACAATACAAATTCCTCTTATGTGGAATTTATACATATAAGTGTCTTTATTTTTATGTCTGCAAGTTAATTGTATAGAATTTAGAATGAGCTGTTTTAGTTCGAAAATATTAAGGAATTTATTTGTAAAATATGAATTTTAGATGAAAATAGGGACTTACGTTTTAGGTTCCCAAAAGGCTACATTTAATAAACTGGATTGGCTAGTAACTGGAACATACAACATATGTAACTTTATCCTAATCAATAGCATAACAATAATACCATCACAATAAATATCAACTAAAAAACAAATAAAAATTAACCCATACATCTAAAAAAATTTATACAAGTAAACTTTAGTATATACAATAAATCCCACCCACCCTCTCTTCTTTATAAGTGATGGTGGGAAAAAAAAAACATTTGGGAGTATTTCTTTACTTAACCCAAATCTTTCAATACAAACAGCTACCCTTAAGACTTAAGAGAAAATGATTATCCTTAAACGAAAACTATATACAAACATTTAAAAATACAGTACTGAAACCCTATTGGGCAAATTTTATTACTCGTTATATTTTAGTGGGAAGAACGTGACAACTAAATTTAGTGAACACAATTGTGTTCTTCACATTTATTACATTCTGATATAAATGGTTAATAAAACTGTAATGACCTTTTGTTTTTGTTGCTGTTATTGAAGCTGAATTTTAAAATGAAACACTTCACAGAGGTCAGTCAAAGTTAAACACTGGGGCACTTAATGGATATCACCTTAAAACCCGATTTTACAATTAAACAAATAACCACAAATATTAAGATTAACAACCTAGTTATATCAATGTTAATATATGAGCCTGAGAGAGTAAAATACAGGGAGGCAGAGTAAGTGAGGACCTCCAGACTCACCTGCAGGGGTGTGTCTGGATCCAACTCAAACTTGGGTATCTTCTCGGTCCAGGGGGCAAACCTCAGTGTGTCTCGCTCGATGAAGTAGTCAAACACGTTACCAGAACTCGGGAACCTCACCATCCGGAACTCTTGTTGGAACCACTTACTAAACTCTACACGGTAGTCAATGTTCTAAGTACGGAAGAAAGGAAGAGGCAGGCCAATTAGTGCTATGCTGGGAGGTAGTTGAAGAATGCTGTTGTTGTAGTGTAATGATGTGGGATCTGTAATGTTTAGTAATCATTGAATAATATTAAGAGGGGCACTACAGGAGATGAGTTCTTCCTACCCAGCCCATCCCCACATTCCCTACTTTACAAATACTCACTCCGTCTTGATAGAGCGCTGATCCAAAGGCCCAAACGAGAGCAAATACAAAATATTGCTCGTACACTTCCTTTGGGCTGTCTGGCGGGGTATTTTCAGGTGTGAGGAGACAGTCCAGCATATTACAAAGTATCATCAGATGGCTAATCTCTGGCATGGGAGTTATTTTCTTAAAGCGCATGCGCAGTATCTCTTGACAGGTGGGGATGTACTTGTCGAAGAGCACCATCAAGTTGGCTTTCTCACTCTGCACTTCACGTCGATCAATCCAGCTGGTCACATAGCTAGAGTGTGAGAGAAAGACTGATAATATATTTTCTATGCAAAGTCAGGTCCCAGCAAAGATGATTATGCTGCTACATTCAAAGAAGTTGGTCATATAACTGTCATTAATGCTGCTGGGGAAAAAAGTAAGCATCACACTATAACAACAATATTTTTTAACAAAATGGACATTTTGAGTCTAATAAAGTATAAAGAAGAAACTTACGGGTTCCATCCTAGATCACCTTGGTTCAGGTATATGATACCTGCACGGGACACCGTGGCTGGGGTCGCCGTGCGCAGGTGACTGATCTCGAAGAGCAGACGCATGTTTGGTGTTAGTGAAATGCGTTCATTACTCGCCAGCGTCAAGATCTGTGCATAAATGAAGAGGATTTTATGTTTTGGTGAGACTAGATATATATACTGTATATATAAACATACACACGAAGGGCATCCTGGCATAGTAAAGTCTGTATAGTCGGGGACTTTAACTTAAGTCAAAAAATTTGGACTGGTTTTATGGGTAACTCCGAATCAGAGGATTTCCTCAAAACCGTTAAAGACTGCTTCCCAAATCAACATATAGCTGAACCGATCAGGGGTAATTATATAGTATTTAGTTCTTTCAAATGGAGAAAACCTAATTAATAATGTGAACATAGGGAACATACTAACAGCGATCACAATGAAGTTAGAATCAAAAAAGCACTTAAGATCAGTCCCAGGGAAAGTACCACTGAAGTCCTTTATTTCTGTAGAACAAACTTTGAGGGTTTGAAAAGACAGCTGCAGGAAGGCGTCCCACATTAGGGTGTGAATTACATGACCTCACGAGAGGGTGTTAATAACACCTTACCAAGTGACCTGACCATGATGACCTCACATAATGGAGGAAACTGCAGCTAGCATATTGGCCCACACTAGGCAGCCCCGTTTACACCCAACCCATATCACTCCTTCATCTGTCCAACTTACATTTGAAGCTTCCCAGTGACCTCATGTTAATGATGGTGTTTGGTAATTTGTTTCGCTCATCCACAACTCTTTTCTCAAACCAGTGTTTACCTATTTCATGACTAAATCTAAATTTGTCTAATTTAAAACAATTGCTGGGTGTTCGTTCGTGGTTAGATAGTTTAAGTACCTTTTGTTTAACCCTTACTTCCAGTTATACACCTCAATCATATCGCCCTTCACTTCGAGTCTCTCAAAGGAGTGCTTTGTCATCATCCTCTGAATGCTCTCTAGGGGATTGATATCCATTCTATAGTATGGTGACCAAAACTGATAACCTCACAAGTCTTGTAACTAACACTCCTTGATATGAACCCTAGTATCTTGTTCACCTTGTTTCCAGCATACTCGTACAGTATATGCATTGCCGTCTTGGTTTGAGGTTCCTACTTATCATTACTCCAAAATCTCTCTCACAGTCGGATTTCTCTATATTTTATAATAACATTGTTCATCTGCCATTTTTCAGACAATAGGAGTGCCAGGACCCTAGACGCCCGCTTCACCCTAGCCACACTGTGACCAACGAAGTGACTTGATCGGGCCTAACCAAGCTGCACATCTAACTGGAATAGGGGACCAAAGGGGTGCGTTGCTAGCTGCAGGGTGCAGTCTGTGGCTTCGCTCAACCTCCAGGACTCACGTCTCCCAGCATTATGGGACGGCACGTACAGCAAACACTTGGGAGAGTATTCCAGCTCTGGTGGTCTGGGCTGGGGATGATGCTGCCAGTCTGCTCTCAAAACGGTAGCAGGATAGGAGCCATTTTGTCTGGACCCTCCCCGGTGACCCACAGTTTGGGAAATCCCTTCCCTCTCTTTGAGAAGGAAAGGAAGGGGAGGGGGGGGGGGGGGGGCCCTTCTGGTACTGCTCACCTCATCATGGGAACTCGCTAGCCCCCACTGCATCAAGGCGGCTCCCACTGGGGAGGCTTTTGTTCAAACTTTCCACTGGACAGTGTCATCGTCCTCCACAGACTCACTTAGTCTCATGTCTTTATTCTTCTCATTTTTGCCATTAACCATCACATGTTCAGCCTTCAGTGTGGCACAGAACTGCTCTCAGCTAACACTAAACATGGTAACCACTGCTAGTCAAACCCCGGAAGATAATTTGCCGTGACCGTACCTTGAGAGAGGTCAGATGACACCTGAAAAGTCATATGCATGCACACTACTACTTCCTTGATTTCTATTCCCCTTGCACTTTTAGTGCATTACCTATTCCATCCTCAATCTACTTGGTCTTTGTCTCTCCCTCTTACCACTTATGTCTGAATTATACATTTGTCTACCATTATGTTACTTCTAATTCGCTCCATACGTCCATACCATCTATTCTAAGCCGACTGTTATCTTGTAGCATTGCTTCCACTTGTTCTCATTTCTGCATTTTTTTTATAATCCTATTGCTGTCATGCATGTTGTCTCTATAACTGTACTTCTAACCTGAAGCTTAAGAACATAAGAACATAAGAATGGAGGAAACTGCAGCGGGCCTATTGGCCCATACTGGGCAGGCCCGTTTACACCCAACCCCTATTGCTCATATGAGCATCCAACCTATGTTTGAAGCAATTCAGCGTATTCGAGTTAATGATGATATTTGGTAACTTGTTCCATTCATCCACTACTCTGTTTCCAAACCAGTGTTTACCTATTTCACGCCTAAATCTAAATTTGTCTAATTTAAAACCATTGTTACGAGTTCGCTCCTGGTTGGATAATTTGAGTACCTTTGTAATGTCCCCTTTGTTTAGCCCTGCCTTCCACTTATACACCTCTATCAGGTCGCCCCTCGCCTACGCCTCTCAAGGAGTGCAAATTAAGATGCTTTTAACCTGTCTCTATACTCAAGGTTCCTAATGCCCGGGATTAGTCTTGTCATTCTCCTCTGAATTCTTTCCAAGGATTCTATATCCATTCTGTAATACGGTGACCAGAACTGAACTGCGTAATCCAGGTGTGGTCTCACAAGAGCAAGATACAGTTTTAGGATGACCTCGCTAGTCTTGTAACTAACACTCCTATGTATGAATCCAAGTACTTTATTAGCCTTGTTACGAGCAAAAACACATTGTTTACTTGGCTTAAGGTTCCTACTTATCATTACTCCTAAATCTCTCTCGCAGTCGGATTTCTCTACGGCATCGTTGTTCATCTGGTATCTGGTTTCCCTGTTTACATCTCCTATACTGAGTACTTTACATTTGTCGACGTTGAATTTCATCTGCCATTTTTCAGACCATTCGAAAAAATTGTTTAGATCTTCCTGTAATTTTCCCGAGTCCTCGTCAGATTTGATAACACGTCCTATTTTAGTGTCATCAGCAAATTTACTTATGTTGCCGATATCTATGTCGTTTATGTATATAATAAATAATAATGGTCCAAGTACTGAGCCTTGGGGAACTCCACTTGTGACGTTGCTCCAATGGGATTTAGTGCCGTTAATGCTCACTGGATGTTTCCTGTCCTGTAACCACGCCCTAATCCATTTAAGGATGTCACCTTTAATGCCATGAGCTTCTACCTTTCTAATTAGTCTTTCGTGGGGGACTCTGTCGAAGGCTTTGCTAAAGTCGAGATATACCACATCATAAAGTGCCCCTCGTCCACCGATTCGAAAACTGATGAAAAGAATGTTAATAGATTAGTTAGGCAAGAACGTCCGCTTGTGAAGCCATGCTGGGAATCATTGATCAATCGGTGCTTCTCCAGGTGATTTCGAATAGAGTTTGAGATGATTGCTTCCAGTAATTTGCCTACTTTTGATGTTAGACTGATTGGGCGGTAGTTAGAGGATAGCGATCTATCCCCCTTCTTGAAAATCGGTATTACATTCGCTATCCTCCAGGATTCTGGTACTACACCTGTTTTTAAGGACATGTTAAACAACTTTGCTAAGGGCATACTAAGCTCTTCCTTACATTTCTTTAATACTCTGGCAAATATCTCATCGGGACCAGGTGACTTATTAGGCTTTAGTTTGTCTATTTGCTTACTAACATCATTACTAGTCACTACTATCTCACTTAATTTGTTTTCTTCACTATCTCTGAATAGAGTCGGTGCCTCGGGTATCATGTTTAAATTTTCAGTGGTGAAAACTGTTGAAAAATATTTATTCAAATTATTGCTCATTTCTCCGTCGTTATCAGTGAGCTCGCCGGAGTCTTGACAGTATTGGTCCAATCTTTTCTCGTGTTTTAGTTTGATACATTTGGTAGAATCCTTTGGGGTTTGTCTTCGCCTCCCTTGCTATCCTTACCTCATTATTCCTCTTTGCTTTCCTTATCTCAGTTTTAACCCTACTCGCCAATACCCTATAATAGTCGGTGCATACGATTTATCCTTCTACCTATAGCCTTCCTTTGTAAATGATGTTCTTTAAATAATTATTTATTCATTTAGGGTCATTGTTGTCTGATCTGAGTTTTTTGTATGGTATGTTCTGCCTTTGTGCATTAAGTAACTCACTATTTAAATTGTCGTGGAACTCGGCAATCTCAGATCTTGTTATCAGGTCGGTGTCATCTGTCAGGTTCACGGCCAAACGCGACACCCCCTCTCTCAGCTGCCTCTTTAAACTGTCAAAGTTTGCCCTTCTAAAATCTGGTACTTTAGTGGAATTTTCCTTACGTCTGCCTGAAAAATCTAACTGGAATAGAGAATTTCTTTGTGATAAAGCTGTTTGCAAATTCGTTCCCTACCTCGACCCTGCTAATGAGGGTTTTCTCTGTTCGACAGAACTAAATCCAGTATATTATTACCCCGTGTGGGTTCGGTTATATGTTGACTTAGGAAACAGTCCTGGATGGTCTCGAGAAAATCCTCTGATTCTGAGTTACCCGTAAGGTCAGTCCAATCTATTTGGCCAAGGTTAAAGTCGCCTACTATACAGACTTTGTTGTGTATGGAAGCCCTGCGCATTTCATCCCAGATAAGTCGCTCATTGACTCTATCAAGATTGGGGGGGTCTATATATTACTCCTGTGATTAATTTTTCCCGACCGTCGCTTAATTCTATCCAAATTGTTTCTGTATTCCTCTCAGTTTTTATTTCCTTATTTATTTCACACTTCAGATTATCCCTAACATAGATTGCTACTCCTCCTCCTTTCCTGGTCTGCCTATCGGTATGGAACAGTTTGTAACCCACAATTTGGTATTCGACTGTAATTCACGTGTGTCTAGGTTGATCCATGTTTCAGTGAATGCAATTATATCGATTTCTTCGGTACATACCAAGGCCTTAATATCATCCATTTTGTTTCTCATACTTCTACTGTTCGTGTAGTATACATTTAAGTTAGTCGTGTTCTGAGTCCTCCCCTTACCGCGTTTAGTTTTAAACTCCCTGTCTAATTTAGTTTTGTCATCATTCCTAACACTATTTCCCTGTAATCTTTCGCCTTGTTTACCCGCTCCCACTGCAGTCTCCTCCACCCCCGTGCCCATATGTTCTCTTAGCAGTTTAAAGACTTCGATATCTTTTGAACTGCCCCCTCTAGAGCCCCAGCCAGGGTTGCTACTCCATCCCTAGACAGGTGCACCCCATCCCTAGCATAAAGGTCCCTTCTGCCATAGAAGTTGTCCCAGTTGTCAATGAATGGGACTGATATTGACTTGCAATATCTGTCAAGACGGTCGTTGACACCAACTGCCCTTGACAACCATTCACTGCCAACTCCCCTTCTAGGCAGGACACCGCATATGATAGGGATCCCTCCCTTAGTCCTAATACGATCTATGGCTGCCTTGAACTTATCAAGAAGTTCCTCGCTCCTACACCGGCCAATATCATTGCCTCCTGCACTGAGGCAGATAATGGGTTTGTTCCCATTACCAGACAAGATATTGTCCATCCTGTCAATTATATCCCCCACCCCAGCTCCTGGCAAACACACCCTCATCCTATTTTTGTTTTTACCACAAAAGGCCCTGTCCATGTACCTTACCTGTGAGTCACCAACAATTAAAGTTTTTATACCTTCCTTGTCATCCCTGTCCCTGACTGTACTAACGTCCAATTCGTCTATCAAGGGACTGAACGGGTTGGTACACTTAGCTGTTGTTGTCGTTGTTGTCGTATCCTTCGTGTGCTTCTTCACCACCAGCTTTGTCTTCCCACTACTCACAACTTTCCACTCGCTTGAGTTTTCGTCAGACACTGGCTTTACTCGTCCAGCCTCTCCTTTTAACTTCGCCAGCTCTTTCCTTAATTTCAGGTTCTCCAACGTGGCCCTCTCAATTTCTAACTTGGCCCTCGCCAATTCTTCAATGGACCACTCCAGTTTGGTCAACAAACTCTCATTCCCAAGACCGCACATAGCACTGGCCATATCTGATAATTATCCCTCCGGAGCTAACCCTGCCGTGACCTTTCCCCTAGTGAGGTCAGAACACAACTGCTCTTGCCTCTTGAGTCCATATTTCACATCCACATTATCATATCAGCTCAACAATTGTACATCTTCACCTTTACCTTGGATGATACTTTTCTCACTCCATAATGTTATTTTCTTTACTTCGGCTACTCTGTAGTTTAAATCATTAATCATCATTTAATTTGTTAAATATCTGATACAAGCCACTTTCTTCATGCTAATTCCATTCAAATTAACATGTAATACTTCCTGCCCCCTTGGTCTATTTATTATTACCATTGGTTCCCTTTACATTCACAATCATTTTTTACTAGTAATATCTCCGTTAGCCGGGATCCATTGTAACCGGAACTCTCCAACAGATGGAATTGAAATATTCTAAGGGGTGCATTCCAGGGATGGGGAATTTTTTCCAGGCTTTGAGAGATGAAATAATGCATAATTCTGGAAAATCCCAAGAAAATTCTGGTACTCCAAAAATTCTGGGGATGGGAGATTTTTTTCTCATTTCGAAAGATGATGTAACGCTCAACTTCTGGAACTTCCGAGAAAATTTTACTGGTACAGTACTTGAAAATATCCAGAAAATTCCAGGGGTAATTTTTTCCGGCTTTCAGAGAGTCGTCTCATTACTCGGAAATCTTGCATTCCCAGAAGTGCTCTGCACCAATTGCTCTGGCTGATGGAGATATCACTGAGGTACACTCTCAAATTCCTAAGATGAAATATTGTAATTTTCTTTCTAGATTACTAAGTAGAGTAGTTTCATCTACAAAATGCGGCTGAAAGCAGAAGAAAAACAAAACAAAAGGCAGCACTGGAAGTGAATGTAATGAACATTCAGGTAGTAGCAGCGAACGCAGATGATTGGCAATTATAGCACCGAGTAACTTATGAGAATGTCACAGAAGAATGAACAGATGAAGGTGAGTGAAAGTTGAATGTATAATTCCTCTTGATTCTGACCACCCAACAGCATAGCAAGAAAAAGTTTACAAACATGAAACCCATTATAGATAGTCACACATGCATACAAGAACCATCAAAGCACTCAGGACATGCAATACAACATACTCAAGATCCACCATCACACTAATAAACCAACACTACCATGCACCAATTACACTCATTAGGAGCACAACAGTGACACATCATCAGGTCAAGCAAACTCCAACACAATATATGTCTCCACCTTGTTGTCGTCCATGAGTGTGTTGAGAGACTCGATCCACATAGGGTCAATATCGCCATCCAGGATGATCCACTTGGGTGCGTCACCTGGCATGTTAGCTTGGTCCCTCATCAGGCTGGAGAACAAACCTAAGATGGAAAAGAAAAAGAAATCAAGTCTGTGACCAAAGACCAAAGATAAATGAGACCCAAGTAACTGGTGACTACAAACCAAATTTTAGGTCACTGAGGAGATACACAGATGATGACAAACTTACAACTATAGAGTAAATAAAAAAAAGAGTGATGCTAAATCTACTCCTTTCATACAATTTCTGATTCTCAAGTACAAGAAGAGTTTTTTATGACAATTACACTACACTGGATTAGTTTAAGTCAAAGAAGAGAAAGTTATGCGTAATCATACCACCTGTCTCACTATTACTGTCTCCCCTTGCATAGTCTCCCCCCTGTACAATCTCTCTCAATACCTTCACTCCAGTAAGTCTTCACCAGTACATTTTCCCCACCAATATAGTATTTCCTAATACCTAATACCAATTCCTTCCTCTCTACCTCAGTTCTCTCACCGTCTTTCCACTCCCGGGTGGCAGAGTTGATGTAGCCGAATAGCTCATCTCGGGTAACAGCCTTGGGATTAAGATCAAAACAGATAGGCTTTTTCTTCATGTTGTGCATTGTCCTAAAGAGTGTTCGCCACACCTGGGTCTTGCCTGTGCCTGCTCCACCAATGATGAACACACTGTGACGCACCTCCAGCAGTTCCTTCAGCTGCACCACCTGAATGAATAGATATAATTATGTTGTTCTTGTTATGGTATTAACCGGTATTAGTAGAATTTTCTGATGGTTAAGTACAGTATTTGATGTTTTTGCTTTGGTAGTACAGTATATGTTATTGGCAGTGTTTTGGCTCTATGTCTGATGATGACAAGTTGGACGATGGTACTCAACTCAGCACATCAGAGTAGATAATTGCTGATAGTAAGCAGAGGCTGTAAATTATCTTGTTTGCAAATGAGACTTTGTGTCATAATGGTATAGAATGCAATTAGGACATTTGTGACCTATGAACTACAGACTCAGGATCTAGAGTTTATTTAGTGGAATTGTAGTATTGAAGTAAACTACTGGGTGATTGGATTTATTGTGGGTGCTGGAGTGGTATGAGAAGACTTTTGTGAGGCTGACAGAGTACAGTATTACCTACCTTTAGAATGAAGCTGTCCTCTGGCTGCAACTTCAGATCAACAGCAGCCTCTTTGACGGCCTTCTCAAATTCGAGGTCTTTCTTACGAGGAACGTCCAGGGCGGGGAAGAGATCACCGATGAGACCCATGAAGACTGGCACATCATCGGTGACGATCTTAGGCACGTTATAGTCTCTTAGGGCTCTCATCAACACCTGGTCCTCCGGGCGTTCAGGGTCATCACGCTAGAAACCATACAGGCAAGCATTTGTCAACACAAGAGCCATGGGATGTATTCAGGTACAGGCAAGTCCCCTTCAAACATAAACATACACATGTAGGCACAAACATATTTATACATTTACACACACACATACATATTTTATATTTAAATCTTTGTAAGTTATAAGCTAGTTGGAGCCTTATTTGACACTATGCTGAGAAGCCCCTGACCTCTACACACTGAATCTTCTAACATACCTTGAGGGAGCCAGCGACCACCAGCAGGCTCTTGATGGCCCTGAGACCCCAGTCGTAGTGTCCCTGTTTGGAGAGGAGCTCCCGACAGAGTCTGTAGAGAGTGATGAACTTCCTGGCCAGCACCTTGGCTTCGATGAAGCCCTCAGCCACCAGCATGATCTCACATATCAGCTCTAAGTCCGGCACCACCATGGCACATGGCCTGGCCATATAAGAGGAAATTTTGATAGTCAGTGAACATGATGAGGATAATGGTGTGTCTTAAGATCAGTGTTCATCATGATGGTCAATCAACCAATCAAACTACCATCCTCATAACTGAGTGTTGGCGACCACAGTCTTCCACTCCGAATGTTTTCGGGCTGTTTTTACCAATCCTCCAAGATTTTCCATCGTTCTGAGAAGCCATTTTTTTAATCTAATTCATCCATCCTAGTCTCTACTTTCCCCTGGACCTCCTACCATCAACTTTGGCCATTAATATTGATGTTATTGTCTCCCATTCCTAATTATATGACCAAAATGATGTATCTCATTTCCTTTTTTTTTTAATTCAAAATACAGTAGAACGTCGATTTAAAGCGATTCAATTTAAGATTATTGACTTAAAGCGACACCCACAATTCAGGAAAGTGTTTTAATTTAAAGCAAATCTTTCCTATTTTGCACGTGTAAATCTGGCGCATCATATTATTAAATTCGCGGCCAATGTTTCTCTGGGCACGCTACACTGTCCTAAGGGCAAAGCTGTACTGTACATGTACTCAAAATAATGTACTAATGATAACTAAAATTTTTGTCTAGTGCAAACTATAGCATGATTATATTCAAATTAAGTACGTCCTCGACTTACGAGGGGGTTAGGGACCGACGACCAGGTCATAAGTAGAATTGGTCGTAAGTCGAAAATGCGAAAATAATACATAGAAAATGTAAAATGGGTGTCTATTTTTCTTCTCAGTACCACGAGAACTCTCACTTTTACGCTGGCCAGCCATTTTAAAGGGAATTACAAACAAAAATTTTGTCAGTACACAGTTTGATCAGTAACGTCGGGACTCGAAAATACGTAATTTGAAAAATATTTTATACGACTGAGGTGGTTGTATGTCCGGGTGGTCGTTAGTCGAGAAGTACCTGTAATCACTATCTTATAAGAATTCCAGCAATGTGAATTATATTCTCTTGGTCACTCCTGTGACATTTTATAAACAAAAAAGCAAAAACTCAATCTCAAGGACATAAATAAACAAATAAATACTTCACTAGACCTTCTGCGCAACTGTCAAACGTGTCACTGTCACTTCCCATCTTTCCAGCCAGGGTTTGGTGGTTCTAGGCTTTAAGTTTTTATCTTATATAATATCACAGACTAAAGCTAGGAGAATATAATTTGCATTGCTAGAATCCTTGCAAAACAGCGAATAATTTGAATGTAAACGTCATATATTTTGCACAAGAGATAAAAATTTTACTCATTTGGAATAAAATTAATTAAATCATGTCAGTTCAGTGACATTTTATAAGATAAAAACTTCAAGCCACTTTTAAGGACAGATAAACAAATAAACACTAGACCTTGGCATCAACTGCCAAACATACCACCCCCCCCCCTGCATCTTCTCATCAGCTGATCGCTAGTAAACAGACCATTTCACGTCCCATAATTTTAGCTGTGTTGATTTATTTGTGTTTGTTTTAACATAATACTACAAAAAACAATGTTTTGTTTATTCTAGGAGATGGGCTGAGGTGCATCTGGGTAGACTCTCAGTCTTTTTAGTATTTTGTGTTTCTCTCAAGTACCAAACTAAATTATTCCATTGAAACCAAACTTCGATTTAGTGCGAATTAGGTTTAAAGCGACCTCTCTTGGAATGTATCTCGTGCTATATCAACGTTCTACTGTACAATATTTTTCTTGAAGTTTTTGCCAATCTTAATATTTATTCATTTGTTTTCCTGTCAGTTAACTTATACAATTATTGTATAACACCATGCATCAATGGCCTCTAACCTCTCTTTGGTTTTTGCTGAAACTGCCCCCGCTTCAGACCCATACAATAATACTTACTGACCATACACAGCCTTTTTCTGAAACTGACACAAGAATTTGTCCTAGAGGGGAGAGGTGAGGGTCTGACCTGAAGAGGACCTTGAGGTTCTCAGGTAGCTCAGTGCGGCCGGCGTAGCCAGGGTTCATGGTGATGAAGATCCCCACCGTCGTGGTCAAGCGGATCGGCTCCCCCATGAAGTCGAAAGTTACCTTACGGTTACGGATGGCGTCCTGGACAGGGCAGTAAATGTCCAATTTATTCAGAACATCTAATAATATAATCAGTAAATAAAACAGTATCCTTCTATAGCAGCACTGGGTAGCACATATAAGTGGCCTTCTTCAATTCATATTTAAAGTGCAGTAGATTTAATAATACTGGATAGTTTGTAATTTAATACACTTATGAAAATCATACTAATGAATGCAATTGACGTCAATGAACAGGGAATACAACATAACTGTATACAGTGGACCCTCCAATAACGGGCGGTTCAATCTACGAGATTTCAGTTAACGAGTTACATCCCGTAAGGACTTTCAGTTCTATTAACGAGAAAAAATTCTCTTAACGACAGCCTTACGAGAAACATGTTTTGGTGTACGCATCAGCTGATCGACTCATCCGCCAATAATCGGTTCTCTGTTTAGCTTTGTTTCCAGTGGAGTAAACAGAGAAAGTTGTGCTCTTGAATATTTTTGCATTTTTACATTAAAATTATTGGTCATTCTGAAATTTAGTTAGCATATTGATAATATACAGTGCAGTGTTGGGTTACATAAAAAAATCTGGAATTAGTTAAATAAATTGTTGCGAACTTAAAATGCTTCTCTTCTCCATTCTCCTCCTCCCCACTTCCAATTCCCTTCATCTTCCTCCTCCTCCACCATTCAACTCAACCAGCAACTTTCTACATACACACCTCAAAGAAAGTGTTAAAATATTTTATTATTTTTTATTTATTATTGTACAGTATACTGTACAGTACAGTATTTTGTTTATATTTACTGTTTTGTTAATTCTATTACCGGTATACAGTACTTTGTATGTACTTTTTAATTAATTTAAAGGAAATTCTGTGAGTTGAAACCAATTACGCAATATCCAATTGAAATAATAGATTCAGTTAACGAGTGTCTCTGTGGAACCAAATGTGCTCATTAATGGAGGGACCACTGTATTACACCATACATTCTCTTACCTCCAGAATTTTGCTGTCAAGTGGAAATGAAACTAATTTTGTTCTGTTCAGTGTGTGGTCCAAGACTCATCGAAGTTCACCTGGTTGAATCACCTGTACACTCTCCACCAGGCTGACTCACCTGTACACTCTCCACCTGGATGACTCACCTGTACACTCTCCACCAGGCTGACTCACCTGTACACTCTCCACCTGGATGACTCACCTGTACACTCTCCACCTGGTTGACTCACCTGGACACTTCACCTGACTGAATCACCTGACTACTTCTCCTGGCTGACTCACCTGAACACTTCTCCTGGCTGACTCACTTGAACACTTCACTAGGCTGACTCACCTGGACACGTCTGGCTAACTCACCTGAACACTTCACCTGACTGACTCACCTGGACGCTTTTCACCTGGACTGCCACCACAGACAACACCTCAACGGATATTCTGTTAAATTCGTCGAAGCAACCCCAGGCGCCTGTCTGAGCCAGACCTTTGTAAATGTTCCCACAGGACTTGTGGGACGAGAAGGAACAACATTACTATTGCACTGTTGTAAGAGTTTACAAACACTTCTTATATATATATATATATATATATATATATATATATATATATATATATATATATATATATATATATATATATATATATATATATATATATATATATATGACTGCGAACTACTTCATATTTTTCCCGCCTCTGCTAACAGTCGTGTAATATTGCAATGTGATTCTGATCTTTTAATGTGTTGTTTCTGCATAATGTACTATTACTGATATGTAATTTGTCTTAGCATGTCTTAGTGTAGGTAAAAATAAGTATATATTAAATGCTACCAGAGTTTATCAGTTAATTCACGTATAATATTTCTGATATACTTCCTACGTGCTTATGTTTGAAATAATGAAGGTATGTATCTTTATATAATTTAGCTAAATATCTTTCTCGTCAGAAACGGTCATCCCAACGATTAAGAATAAACTCATTTAGAAATACATCATTACTCAGGACAAAATCGGACAGGTTTGCAACAGCCTATGAGCTGTAACTCGTGAGGAGGGGCGGGGCCTTTTTTCTCAGCTGAGAAAAAACGCCCTATAGTCTACTACACCACGATGATCTTAAAAACCTACAACACCCTAACTACTAATTAATAGCTCAAGGTGACCAGGCTCAGGTATCATGAATGTGTGTGCACATAATATGACATAAGTAACATACCTATAAATAAATTAAATACAATAATAAGTGCAGCGGATGTAATGTATATGATAATATAGTGAATGTAGTTTTGGTGATAGTGTAGTGGTTGTAATGGAGATGATGGTGTAGTGATTGTAATGTACTGTAGGCGAGCTACTCCACAAAAAGTAATCCAGACAAAGCCGGGTAAGTTTATGTTGTAGCACTCTAGTTGATTTTAAGATAAAGGATTAACTGAGTGACTAGTTTTTGCATATAAAACAAATCCATTAAATGATTAACTGAATGGAAAAAGGTGATCATACAATAGACAAATCTTAAATAAATGTAAAGCTGGTTAACCGAGTATCTTATCAAATGAAAGGAACCTGGTTGAGTCTACAGTAACAGAAGCAGTGCGATGTTACAGATGTGGCTGACCCCATCACCTTGTAGTCCATCTGCTCAGAGCAGTTAAAAACGTAGACCATCATGCCGAGTGCTCGACCCAGGTCCTTAGTGGTCTCCGTCTTGCCAGTACCCGCCGGGCCTGAGGGAGCTCCTCCCATCACCAGATGCAGAGACTGTCAACAAACACGAGACACAGCTTACCTCACTAGTGTGTAAGTGGTGGTGATGATGATGGATATAATTATATTAGGAAAGGGACACAGTAGTAGAAGACGGTTGAAATGTTGAAGACATTAAGAAAGAACATAGATTAGAGAAGGAAAGGGATGAGGAAAAACCCCAAGAAAAAAATAGGAGTATAAGAAGTAATTAATAAAATAAAAATTACTAAGTAAATAAGGAAAAAGAGAAGAACATTATGAAACAAGAAGACAAAAAAAAGAAGGAAGAAAAAAAAAATACTGTATTGATAGAAAACAACAAGAAAAAAATAAAGAGGATGCAGAATAAGAGGCAATATTAATAAGTTCACACACCCCAGGGAGGGGTATATCAGTCAACAGCTGTAGAAGAAACAGGAAAGTGTGATAAAAGTTATAAACACAAGAAGAAATCCCTAAATACAGTACAGGTACTACCAAATAAGAGAATATTAGTGGCTCTCTCAAAAGACCCAATAAGAATAAAGAGATACTATAACAATATCATTAAGGATGAGATTATAATACATGATATGTAAACTGATAAAATAGAAGGTAAGAATAATAATAATCAGGGGGGTTGACAAAGACAGCCAAATATGTTTGAATGGATGGCTGTGGTCACCAACCCTCAGATAAGAGAATGGCACCTTGACTGAGTGATTAAAAACTAATAAGTTATTCAGTGATTTTCACTAAAAATTCTTCAAGAAATCTGGTGGTAAAGTTATCCCTGTATAAGCTGTCAGTGAAGTAGCCGCGTTATGTGCCGTGCTTGGCTGGGTTCCTTGAATGCTTGTACTCCTCCATAACTGTAGACTCAGGAACATTGATAACAGGTTAAAAAATGTCATCAAAATTACACTGAGGATCTGCCTAAAAAAAAAAAAAATACTTTACTAAGTAGAATCACTTAGCACCAATGATGTAATGGTGTCCACACGATCAAATGAGTGTCTGAGCAAATTGGGTCCGATGATTTTCTAAATGATCAGTACACATATGCCGCAAAATAACCACTAACATGAACTACACTCCACATTATTGTCATGATTTATCTATTTTTTTCTGAATATGCATATAATAACAATACTTACTGTACTTCAGATAAATCAGGAAATGTCACTAAACAGCAATATATGGCACAAATACTTCTTTGAGCGTTTGTACCTGTGTGAGGGTGATATAACAGCGGTCAGTCAGTGGCGTTATCACCAGGCGGGTGGTGTTGCCCAGGTACTCGTGATCATACTTCATACGAGCGTCGCAGATGTCCACGAAACAGTCACCTTGCTGCTCATCCCACCTGTAGACAAGAGAAAATTTACTCATTAAAAAGTAAACATGTAGGACTTTTATTTAATTGTAATTGCTAACAACATATAACCTGATAATCAATCCCACATTATGAGATAGAAACTATGGTTTGATTTTCAATGTGATACTGATATTATCAAGTCTTTCTAACTAAGTGTCTACAGCAGATTTTGTTATCTAACCTTTAGAGGGCATAGGGTTTCTCTGGCTGAATAAAATCGTCTGGTGTTGGCCAGAATAAAATACTGTACCTAATTGTGGAACTGCCCTGTAAAGGATTAATACAGAAGCGTAACAAATATAATAAATATAATAAATAACAGTTCTTCTAAGGCAAGAAACAGACAGGAAGATGATAGAGGACATATGTTAGGGTATAATAAAGGGGTACAGTTTCAGTAGATGCCAACCACGTAACTTTATATTCATGTCTACACAAGGAGACATAATATATCAAAAAGAGAATACTGTACTTTATTCTATAGTATTTTGTTGCAAATTTAAAATCTCAGTTTTTATTGACATTTTTATTTCACTTAAGAAAGTACAATTTGGATTACACAAAGTGTGCATGGCTTTGAGGTAGAGGGAATTGTTGGGTAAAAACAAACAAGAAACTGACCAAAGCAAATCTAATGAAACCTGGCCTAACCTTACCTTTGTCTTGCCGATTTCGTGTCTTTTCGTGAAGTGTGAACTTTAAACTCTCCAAATTAATTTTTCTTAAGATAAATTGATAAGTCAATATAACTAAAAAAAAGTGTAATGATAATGCTAAAGAGTAAAGTATTTAAATGTTTTTGTCTATTTCCCTATGTAAAAATGAATATAGAGTTCTGTGGTTGGCATCTACCAAATCTTAACTGTTACAGGTAATAGAAATGAGAATTTGAGGGCTTCAAATAAGAGGGGTAGGATGTTAGACAAAATGTAAGAATAGAGGGACCAAATTAATGAATAAAACAAAGAGAGGATAGGAAAAGAGGAGTAATGGAGAATACAATACTTTACTGAAACAAAAGAAGAGTTCATGATGAAGGATACATTACACCAGTCCATGCAGAGGAGCAGAACCCACCTGTGTCTGAGTTGTGATTGCCAGGCAAACTCTGCCGCACTCTCCACGCGGCCGCTGATGAGGCGTGCCACCACATCTCGTGCATGAACGTCGATGGTACAGATGGTCATGATCTTCTGACGCTGCTGCCTCGTCAACTCCCCTAGCAAGAGGGAGATGAGGGCGTTCAGCTGTTGGACCTGTTGGACAACGTGAACAAAAAGATTTTCTCTGATCAAAATACTTGTTCTTCAACATACACGAGTCATTGTGTCTAACTTTTAAATAGTACATAAAAAGTAGGGTGTATTCATCAGTATATTTTTAATGTAAACATCCATCAGTTATGTGTAGATTTATGTACCTGTTTCCTATAGTAGTCTCTGAGGGCGTTCTCATATCCCTCCTCGAGGCGGGAGAAAGCAGCAGTTGCCTCCACAGTCCAGTATATTTGCGTTCCTGTAAGCGCCACCTACGACGGCCCGACACAACATTAGGTAGTCACCATTTATCATCAATTTACATACAAATGAAAAACTAAAATAAATTGGATGTTGAGATATGAAATAAAGCAATATTAAGTCTATAAGAATAATTAGTTTTAGTAGTTTGGTATCACACGAGGAATAAGTAGGAACAGACCCGTCCACAGCCACTGTCACACCCACCTGGGCAGGGTAGTCCCCCACCCATTGGTCCCGGGGACGGTCTTCATAGGCCACCACAGCATCGGTCATTCTGGCCTGCACCGTGGCCCTCATCACCTCCAGCACACTCATCAACCACTTCTCCACCTGATTAACAAGAATTGTAGACCAATTATATACCTTACCCAGGAAAATTAGGTAGTATACCTCATATACTATACAGTACAGTTTATCTACCCTTCATTACTAGCGTAAGCCGCATAATCTTAATGTTTCATATTCTGCCTAGTTTGTTTCGTATAACGTTGCATTTTTAGGAACATAACCCCGACATTAAGCGAGAATTAATTGTATACTGTATATAGAAATCTTAATGAGAGAAGCTATAAGTGATAATGAAGAACTAAAAGTTACTGGTAGAGTAATATCAAATATTCGCTATGCAGATGATACTGCTCCTACCACAGATAACGAAGAGGCATTACAAAACCTTGTTAACAACTTAGTGGAAAAAGGTGAAAAATATGGTTTAGGAGTTAATGCTGTAAAGACAGAAGTAATGGTTGTTTCCAAATTAGAAATAATCCTAAAATAAAAATTATGGTGGGCAACAGAGAACTTAAACAAGTAGAATTTTTTTTTTCATATGAGGGGAAACATTAGTTATGATAGCAGATGTACGGAAGATATCAAAACAAGAAGAGGTCAAGCAAAACCAACATTTAATAATCGAAAAAACCTAATAAGGGACATTTACTTTAATATGAGAAGAAGGCTACAGAAAGGCTTTATATGACAAGGAATGATGTATGGGTCAGAAGCGTGGACACTTTCAGCAGACACCAGAAATGTGGTTGTATAGGCAAATGCTAAGAATAAGCTACACTGACAGGCAAACAAATAAACAAGTACTAAGATTAGAAAAAACTTCAAGAGGTATACTTGAATTGTACAAAAAATTACAATTAGACACTTTGGTCATATAATTAGGGATATGAGAATAACAGAAATATTAATGGGAAAAATTTAGGGTAGGAGGGCCTTGGAAAGGCAGAGACTGGGATATGTGAATGAAATAAGAAACTGGGTCTCCAGAGAGATACAGGACTTTGGAGGATTGGTAAAAGTAGCCCAAGAATGTTTAGAGTGGAGGACTGTGGTCGCCAACCCTCAGATATGAAGACAGTACTCCGATTGATTGAGTGGTTCTTATAAAACTTTTCACTTCAGTCAGCTGTATCTGTAAGGAGTAGCATACTGGAGCAGTGTGTCATATCAGCAGCCTTAATCCTTTTCAGGACACCCCCTTAACAACTGACATTTTGGTGTCCAACTGAATTTAAATCCAGGGTTTAGAAGGGTCTTAGGATTATAAAAGGTTTTAGGGGTCTAGTGTTTCAAGGTTCTTGTTGCTTTAGGGGTCTATTGGGTTTTAGGAGTCTATGGATTGTTTTGGTCTTCGGGATTTAGTGGGGGTTTTAAATTTTGGGGGAATCTTCGGAGGTTATAGGGTCTAATAGGTTTTAAAGGTCTACGGGGTTTTAGGAAGCTTCAGGGATTTAATGGCTTCGGAGGTATAAGGGTCTTGGGAGTTTAAGAATTTTTATGGATCTTAGGCATCTTACGAGTCAGCGGGGCTTAAAGGTTCTGAATGAGTTTATGAAATCTGAGGGGGTCTTAGGTGTCTAGGAGGTTTTAAGTGTCTAAGTGGGTTTTAGGAGTATATAGGGTTTTAGGGAGTGGATGAAAAGCAGTAGTACTCACGGGGCCGACACACTTGGTGACGGAGCAGAACTCCACATACTCGCCGTCCTTTGCTGTCATACCCACTGCAGTGCTGGCATCAGTAGAGTCGCCCTCGGAGAACTTGAGACAAGCGATACTGTCGAACAGTTTCGTGAGGTGTCTGGAAATGTGTGAGGAGACACATTCTGGTTATTTTATCGTTCAGTAATATACAATTGCCTCGTTATTTTCTTTAAATAAAGACTCAAACAGCTGCTATGTTGTGTCTAATTATAGGGACCCCCAAATTCGCAGGGGTTAGGTTCTCAAAATGGCCGCGAACCGCCAAATCTGCGAATAAAATTTGCGGACCCAAGGGGGGGGGTGTTACGTTTTTACTTGTGTACACAGAAATGTATTCCCTTTATGTGTTTGCCCTTAAGAGCAATAGAGAATGGACTTGAGGGTAGACCGTCACATTTTAAATAAATTTGTTTCTGATTATTTGTGAGAGTATTTTCCCATTATTATTTATTTGTATGTGTTTTGTGTGTGTGTGTGTGTGTGTCTACACACACATACACATATTTACAATACTGGTACAGGAAATTACTGTCTCTAGAACGAATGACTCTCTGTCCCAGCTGCGAAAATGCTACCCACAGACATTCTTGGGTACATCCAGGGTGTCATCCTCGAGGAACCAAGAACCGCAAAGTAAAAATCCGCAAACTTGGGGGGCCCTGTACAAAAAAAAAAAAAAACCACATATGTATAAATATAATCTTTTACTGGCCACAAAATGTCAACATTCAAAAACTGAGAACAATTAAAGACAAACCTAAAATCAATTAAAGAACTTAAACACTTAACCAACTTAATAGTACTAGGATACACACACATACACACACAAAAAATTGCTCTTCCTTGGATATATTCTACGTTTTCTTTGTAATAGGTGTATGTACTAACAGACAGGTAGGTTTAAATCAATATTTACCCTAACATATTCAGAGCAGGAAATAAACACTATTGGTCATGTTGATACAGGGTAGAATTTCCCATGATGGTCACACGGTTGCTGGGCTGACCACAGCAGGCAAGATACAACTCAGAGGAGATAATCATCTAACCTGCACATATTTACTTAATTATTATACAGACTGATTTACTGAAGTCTATGAAGAAAATAATAATGCTCCATAAACACTAAGCATCATATATCTGTCAGGAGGGACTTCACCTGGTGACCTTAACAGGCTGGTTGCCATTGGAGAGGATGTCAAGGAGGTCAGCTGTAGAGACAAAGTAGAACCTTGGGAAAGCAAGTCTCTTGGTCTCCAGATACTCGGCGAGGGTCTTCTCACAGAGGGTCAGCTCAGCCTGCAAAGCCTCCAATCCGGAGAAGAGGCCCTGCCGGTTGGTGGCGAGCAGGACATGGGGATTGGCTACCATCTCCGCTACCAGCTCCTACATCCAGACGATAAACATATACATTACTGACATTACCTTCTCTTTTTTTTTATAGACTTTATGTCTAATGACAACTTATAGGAAACTGTTATCATTTAAGTATGTTGATTGGGAAACTTGCTTACTACCAGAAGTGATCACATATTTTATCCAAAACCTTAGACAACAGTCAATGAAAAACATTTAGAATTCAGGCAAGGCTTTCAGTCATGAACTTCCAAGCAATTTCACTTTGAGGATTTGTGCCCCATTGTTTTCGGAATGTTTAATTAAAGAGATGTTCATTTAGCTTCTTTCGTGGGTTCCTCTTAAAGGCTTCTTCCAAAGCTGCCACGGATTCTTCGATAAGTCAAAGTCTCCCGGTCGTGGATTTTCATTTCAATCATGAAATGGCGCCAGTAAAGAAGATTAAGTCAGCAGAATTGAAGCCTCGAGCACTTCTCATTACAAGAAAGATGTTGAAGAATAACTTATTCTCACCTTAAAATCGATGTCAATCTGATCGAATCGGGCCGAGTCCTCAGGCAACTGACGGCGGATGTCATCCGACCCAATAAATATCGACTCCAAGTAGCTCCAAGTGCGCTGAACCTCAAACCTAACAAATAAAGCCATTCTGTAGCAGTCAGTACTATGTCACTACATTTATGACGGACAGTCTATTAATGAGGTACAAAGAAGAAAGAATTATCAGTCGTCCATGACATGTACACAAACTCCTAGACTCATAATTTAACCTTGCCACAGATTTACTTCGCTTTATGGCTAACATTCCTTTTCTACATGAAAGAACAGTCTTCCATAACGCATAGCAGAAACATGTTTAGGCAAAACAGATAATCTTCTTGTCTAGATATCTGTAAGACATACAAGATATTACAACAATCTTGTGGTTTATAGTTTAGTTTTATTACAAGAAGTAATAGCATAATCCTGTTCAAAGACATCATATCTGTGAATGGGAAATATGTAATAAAACTGGTGGTGTCAGCTTGGAGACTCACCAGAGCGTGATGACCTGGTCAGCGATGGATAGTTTGTTCTGCCACATAGACACTTCTTCCAGGAAATGCTCGATGTATTTGGACGTCATTAAGTTTTGTAGTTGAACCTGATGATTGAAATATTATTTTTGTCATAAAATGAGATTCACCATAAAGGTATAATCACCGGATTATTATAAAAATATAGAAGGCCTCTTAAGATGTCAAAACCAAATAGCTAATTTCAATTTCTCTGTTACATTTTAAAATACCAAGAACTAATTTAATTAACAAGGGTGTAAAGCATTAAAAAGGTGAAATCGAGGCCATGCTTAATGAGAATGTTTTAGAAATTGCTTTTGAATATTTGTGGAACGAAAATTCTCTGTAAAGGCACTTGTCTTTTGTTTGGCCTTTAATTAAGAATAATCTATGTTTAAATTCAGGAACTCAACTCCAGTTATTTCACCAGTCTCTTGCTCGGTCTTCCATGAGGACAAGTTTCTCTCCTGGCTACATAACAAGGTCAGACCTGGCCTCACCTGGCTACATAACAGGGTCAATCCTGGCCTCACCTGGTTCTCCTCCAATGTCTCGATCATCTCCTCCGAGGTGCGAATGAGCGCCACGCCAGTACGAGGATGCTTGTCGATCATGAACTCCATGGTAGCCCAGGTGACATCCAGCTCCTGGAGCACAAAAGAGCTTGAAGACGAATTTTGAAACTCAAGTAAAGTTATCAAGATATTTTGCCGACAATAACGTATTATAAAGAAAGCTGAGTAGCTGAAGGTTATTCAGTAAAGAAAAACATGAACTGCCATGAGCAAACATAAGGATTTTTGCCTATAGGAACATTTAGATGGTATTGTATATTTGCTTATTATTATTAGTTATAATTTGACATACAGGCCTGTCTTGATGTAAACACTACCCAGTCAAAAAATGTAAAAAAAAAAAAAAAAAAACTTCAAAATATACCATTATCTTAACATATCCAGAAGTAGCAGAAAAATGGTAAATAAGGTAATGCAGCACATCACCCAAACTGAACAGCAACTCAAAATATGCATTTTTGAGTCGACTGTAGTTTAACCACTCGAACAAAAAATAATTTATAATAACATCAATTTTACTAAACTACTGTTGTTGTTAATTTTCGATCAGTCCCTCACCTTGATGATCTTCTCCATGGACATCTCCTTAACCGCCTTATCGACGATGTTTTTAACCTCGTCCTCGTAGGTATGGAGGTTCAGTTGGAGCAGATCAGCGAGAGTCGTCTCGGGATTATCCACGAAATTCGCCTGCAGAAAAACAATCGGCGTTTGGCCTGCGTAAATCTTTGAAAGGCTTAATTTAAATATAAGATACAAAAGGCACCTATGGAAATAAAAGCCTCACATGGCAGTCTTGTTTACCTTGCTTGAATCTACAATTTAACACTGGTTGTTTATCTATGCTGTTTATGCACATTCTGAACTGATGTGCACTCTGACAATTGTACTGAATAAACATATATAAAAAACTACAAGGTAAATATAAATTTTGTTTATTTTTATGTAATAGTTTTACATTCAGCTAAGTTAGTCACTCTCTTTCTCTATTTTTCTTTCTCTCTTTTCTTCCCATTATTCACTATCTACAATCCCTTCTACCCTTCTTGTCTCCCGTTAGCCTTTTCAATGTCTCTTTCCTTCTGTCTCTCTCCCTCCCTCACCACAAAGTTCTTGGTGGAAGATTCGGTCTTGGTGGCCACGAGAAGCTGGCCCCAGTGCCTTTCCCTCAAGGATGGGTTCTGCAACTCAGCCACTGCCCTCAGGGAAGTCAACATGTTCTTCACCGTTGAGTCCAGGTTGATGTAAGCATCCCACGACCTCATTTCTTTGTCCAGCGCTGCAAAGAAAAGAAAAAAATAAAGGTGTGAAATTAATAAACATATTTTTTACGATTGCTGTAGTTTACTTCACTATGATACATATAATTATTATTATTGCACTTGTGGTGCATTTTGACAAGTGGTTTTAACTTTTTTGCAGTCTATTCAGGTTGATGATTTTTTTTTGAAAAGGTAACAGTATGTTAAAAGGTCGTGTACGAAAGAATTCTAAGAGAACAAGATACACTTAGTGTATCTTGATACTTCTGTCATGATCATAACCTAACTTTAATTTTACTTATGTTGCTAGCATTCATTTGAAAAGAATGTTAAAAGTTAAATATTTTGGGTGGATGTGGAACTTGATTTGAAATCATAAATAAATGGTTGTACCTTGTGTTCGATGATGGTCAGCCCTAGCGCCACCTAGGCATGAATTTGTTTAATGTGTAGAAGCAGTTGCCAACACAACAACCACACACTGAGTTAATGAGTTGCATGACCCAGTGTCAAGGAATAATGCAAGAAGACCGGACAACTCACCAACTGCACTGGCTTACCTTTCGCCCGGAACACTATCTAAAAATCGATTAACATCCAGGTCCCCAATTAATGCTGAGTAGACAGAGGCAAATGGAGCATACATACACATACTGTTTACTGTATATATGCATTTTCTTTAATTCCAGAGATCGTATAAGAATTTGTCCCAAACACAATAATTGAGAGACAAACAAAATAAAAGTCACTCTATTTCCTCACTGTGCTAAGAAGTATAAATACCATATATATAAAATCCTCGTGGAACATAGTATTTCAGCTATTACAACACAAATTCGCGGAGCCGCCTTTGTGTGTATTTACAACTGAATCGCCAGGCAAGAAGATGACGGTGGTAATGCGGATGATGGGGGGGTGAAGGAGGGGGTTTTGAGAATTGCAATTAAATGCCAGGTAGCGACGTGTCATCCTAATATTACTTATTAAGTGATTATTAGATGTTTTAATTGCCTGTATGTTGGCCTGGCGAGTTATTGCTAGGCATTAACATACCTAGGTATAAGCTAGGCGTCGCATTCTGAGGTTTGAGCAAAAATACAATTCCATATCCGCATTATAACTATTTTATAATACATACTGGAGCATACTATACTACACACGAATATATCTTTATAATATTATACTGTACCAATACAGTAATATCTCCTTTAGCCTAAATCCCTCTTAGTCGGAATTCTCCAATAGCCGGAATTAAAATTTGTTCGGAATTTTTCAAGAAAATTTCTCTCAATTTCAGTTTTGGGAACGATTTTCTGAGTTTGAAACTCAGGCGCATTTTCTGAAAATCCTGACAGAAATTCCTGAAACTCACAAGATAATTTTTTTTTTCTAGGTCTGGGAGCAAATTCCGAGGTTGAAAATCAGGTGCATTTTCTGAAAATTCTGAGAGAAATTTCTGAAACTCTCGATAATTTTTTTCTTCCAGATTTGGGAGCAAATTCCGATGATGAAATAATGTGAAATTTTTTAAATTTCTGGAAACTTTCTCCAATTTTTTTTCCTGGTCTGGGAGGAAATTCCTAGGATGAGATAATGTGTAATTTACGGAAAATTCCGGGATGGGCGATTTTTCTGGGTTTGAGAGATTCGTCTTGTTACCTTTCCTGAAAGTGCTCTGCACCAACTGTTCCGGATAATGGGGATATCACTATTATAAACTATAGTTAAAAACAATCTTACCTCTCAATGTGATGGTAGATGCTCAAATATTTATCATATCCACAGAAGGGAATTTATTACGCAGTTCACACACGTGATGCTTACAAGTTTTGAACAAGTGAAATATCTTAAAATAAACTATACTGTAAGGAACATTTTATAAATTCTCATACAGACACTTATAAAACACTTCACAACAATTTCCATCACTTCTACAGATAGCTGAGACATTCATCATCTCCACAAAAAAAGGGCAGTGAATCCTCTAAGATCCAGACTAAAAGGGGGGACTACCTGTATGAAAAAGTCGATTGTCTGGATCTTCTGGTTGAATGTACAAAATGTATAAAAGAAACACCAAAACTACAGTACTGTACTTTCACTTTCTCCATGCAGTGGATAGATGAGTTAGTGTTGCCGTGATCCTATAATGGGGACTGAGAACAACTTACTATTCTGAGTCAGAGGAGCAGGGATGCCCCTCAGTTTGGCTTGGTTTAGAGGCCGGAGGGATGGGAGTAACGGGTTTGAAGAAGGAGACCAGCTTAAGTTGCTTCCCTGCATTGTTCTGCTCCCTATAAGAAGTCCTCTAAGAGTCCAAACGTGTATATAATCGTGGTGTATTTGAGGAATGGATGTGCCGTCAATGTAAGTTAAGATGGTGCCGAGAGACTCTCATACAGCAGACAACTTTGGCATCTTTACAGGTGACTTCTCCATCACTGCTCTCCGTGTCGTCGTCCTCTTTGTCAACAGCGCGAAAGCATCTGGTAACCTGGATCACCCTCATTCTCCTACAACCACTTCTCCATGGTTATGTTATTCTCTCCACCACCGTGAAACACACGATGAAAATCCACTACCACAAATCCCTCAAAGTGGAGTTCAGGCTCAGTATCAAGCTGAAGTTTCTTCCAGCTGTTAGCTTAGGTGGATATCTTGACATCCTTCCACGAAGCAGCAAAACTGAATATGGCCGATTTCAAATTGTATTTCTTGATGTTGGTTAATGTACATTGTCCTCTAGTGTCACTCACATCATCATCTTCGTCCTCCAGCACTACCAGCACTTCATCCAGGTACCTCCTCCGGTATAGCCTCTTGCATGACAAAATAACTCCCTGGTCCATAGGAAGAATAATAGACGTATTGTTGGGCAGCAGAAATAGGGCACGGATTTACCATCACTGCTGACCAGTGAATGAAATAATATTCCCACAAACAACAATTGACAACTCTGTTTACGTTTCCCGCCTCTCTGGGCACCTGTGTCCCGCATGACCAGTCAACCAATGCCCAATGGCCAAAAATGATCTTTGCTTTGTTTTGGGAATGCTTCTTAGGGAGGCTTCTTAGCCCAGAACCCCCAAATTTTGTACGAATCTTCCAAAATCCGGATTTACCGGATCTGGATCTTTGAGGGTTCACTGTATTATTAATTTTAAGCAAATGGCAGTTACAAATTTGATTACTGTACCAAAAAAAAAAATAATAAATTAGCTCTTTATAAACACTTATAAACACTTTACAGGGCTAAGTGCATGGGGTGATGTACAAGATATATTTTTTTAAATGGCTCACTCAATCCACCCTTTACCTTGACTGTTTGGATAACACTAAGATTTTATGGCAATGCTCTATGGAGAGTTGCCATGTAGCTAATTAGTGATGAATTACCATGAGAGAGGAAGCCTACAGGAATGATGCGCCAAAATCAAGTGTCAATCGGAATTACTCAATTTCTCATAAAAAAATCTCTTGAATGACGCGTTGGGGTATCAAGTACCAATCGGATGAGAATATCATTGATGCCTGTATGTGTCACGGTGCACGAGTGTAACTGTAGTGTAGAGAATGTTGTAGTTGATGTAGAGTAGGTAGTGTAAAGAAAGTGATGTAGACAATAGCTGCCCCTCAGAAGTAAACCTGAGCAACACTGGGTAAACCAATTAGTACTTGTAACTATATAACTACCTCTGATATCCTTGGCAAACTTCTTGCACTCAATGTCCATATTCTCAACGTCCACTTCCCTCCAGGGGGTCGTCTTCCAGTGGTTCACACAGGCACGCACCAGACAGATGTGGTCCCACAGTTGCTGTCATGGGAACACAGGAAGATGAAACCACTACAAGTGTTGCCTGTGTATTTATCCAGTTCATTGACTTCAAAACCCACATTGCATTCATTAAAAGTTATTGCAATTGCCTCTAATTATTAATTTTTAACAGTCGTTTTTATATGACATTAAACACTTCACAAAACTTAGTTTCTATTATGACAAAATAATGAATCAGTCCATTGATTTCAGAATTAACTGCACCTGACAACATATAATGGAATCATTTTAGTGATTTAGAATACACTTTTCCTTTACCTTAAGCATCCGTAGTTCCTTCCTGCACGCTTTGATGAATTTAAACTCTGGAATCACCACTTCAAACAGCGCTGCCGATTCCTGCAGCTGACGCATCTCCTCCTCCAGGCGCTGCACCCGGGAATTCACTCGCTCCAATCGCCAGTATGTCAGCTCACAGTCAAAGCTGGAAAGGAATAGAGAAATTTTTAGGGCAAGATATTGAGTTTTCACTTTCTCAAATACCTCATTATGACGAGAAGATTAAGGAACTGTAGACAGAACATATTTATCATAGGAAAATTAAATAATGGAAAAAGTTGTAAATACAGTAAACCCCATTTAATGTGACCCTAAAAAGCATATTCTCTTTATAGCACGCCTTATAAAATATCACTATATTTCGTACTGCACATCAAAATTCTTGTAAGAAGAGGTCACTGACTGCTAGGCAATTCTTCCATTAACCTCTTAGAAGTGCTAGAGTGGTGGGACCACGGCTGAGAGCAGCATCATTTACTCATTGTTCTCGCTTCAACAGGATTGCGTCACAGCACTCTGTGTTATATATAATTCGTGGGCTATGTTTGTGCTTTTTATGTGCCAGTACTGTAGAATATTACAGAGACTACAGCATCTTACGCAGATTTCTGATGAAGCTGCAGCAAGCAAGTATATAAAGAAAGGTTTCAACTTGTTAGATGCACTTTAAATGATCCACTCCTTGCTAGTGAGGAAGTGGCACCTTCCCTGGGGCACACAAATGAATCCACCACAAACAAAACCAAGAAAAAGAAAGGGAATTTAAGATCTTTATATATCCCTCTATTTCTTTACTAACTCGCCGTGCCAAACACTCGAGAAACCTTGCTTGCACGCTTTAGATGTTACTGGTTTCCCAGTAAACACTACCATCTGCAACTACTGTATCACCTAAGTAAAAAATAGATACCAGGCAAATCTACTTGTTTATTCTATTAAAAACAGAATATTAATATTTAGGAGAGAAACAAGGGTTTAAATGTCGTCAGGAATATATGGTAAAGTATTCACACATCACAACCTCCAACAACACATCATGCATATTGTTTTTCTGATCATAAATGAGGTTCAATTGTATCTTTTTTAGAATTATCTCTCTATCATAACTGTTTATAAAGTATATTTCTTTTGCTAAAACTTTTGTTATAAAACTTTCGTCAGTTTCACTGTACAATGAGTTTGAAGTGATTAATAATATATGAACAAAAACACTGGATGGCAACACCTACTTGAAGAAGGAATATGTCTTAAACTTGTCGCGGTAAATAGCCTGGCGAGTCTCAAACTTCATGCACTTCTTCCTGATGCCGTTGACCTCGTTGGCCTTGAGGGGGGCGACATGCTGGCGGACCAGGTCACACTGCTTCTTCAGTGACTCCCACTGTTCTGGCAGCTCCTACAGCAATAATGACAAGCATATCATATGTCAATAAATGGTGTGCCATTTTGATATCTGAGGGGTTGCAACCACAACCCTCAAGTCCAAACATTCTCTGATTGTGTTTACCAATCTTTGATCATGTAGCTCTGGGGACCACAGCATTTAATCTGATTAGCTCATCCCAGTCCCAGTCTTCCCCTGGCTCTCCTCCCTTAAATTATATCTATCATATTGACATGAAACATTAAAAATACAGATTAATACAGTAATAACATAACTCACTTTGAGACATAAAATATTTTACTCATGTCTCCGCCACCACCCCCCCCCCCTCACCCCAAAAAATCATCATATAAACTAAGTGAAGTAAGTGAAGTAAGAATGAATATGGAGGATGTGTGCCAATAACTTGATGTACAGGGTGACTACAAATGACCTCCCTGATTTATTATATAGACATTAACAATGGTAGAGCAAAAGGTAACAAACTATTACAAAGCAATGTCTAAATTTTTTTTTTTGCGTCACCATATTTTCATAATGCAGTGAACACTTATCTGAATAAACAAATACCTAACAATTGGATAGGGTGCGGGGGCCCATTAATTGGCCAACTCATTCACCTGACCTCACTCCCCTTGACGTTTTCCTTTGGGGCTATGTTAAATGTGAAGTGTTTGTTCCACCAATGCCAACATCTCTGGACCAGTTGAAGAATAGGATCCAAAATGCTATTCTTAAAGTTAACATTTATATGCTAGAAAATTTATCGAGAAAAACAGAATATCGTTTTGATGTTTGCAGGGCCATATATTGAAAAAAAAATAGACATTGCTTTGTAACTTGTGCATGTTACTTTTTGCTCTACCATTTTTAGTTTCATAATAATTAATATTTGAAATCAGGAAGATAATTTTTAGTCACCTTGTATTATTTCATGACTTTTCCGTGATGTTTACGAGTCTTTTTTTTTTCCTCTGACAAAATGCTTTCCAATAATTTTAGAATAGAGGTTTATGCTTACAAATGTGTGGTTGAACTGCAGATCCCGTGGTGAAATGCAAAGTAAAAATACGAGGCCCGACTCCTATACAGTTAAAAAAATTACCATGCCTGCACTATCAAACTCTGGAGAATTACGTATGATTGCTATTTAGAATTTATAAAGGGAGTAGTCTATACAGTATTTCAATGGCATATCCTGGTATAAGCAGATAACAAAGGGACTGTAAGATTTAAACCATGTTGCTCACCGTTATAGACGGCCAATGTTGTTGTATACCATCTCAATAATACATGTTATTATTCAAGTGTTCTTTTACACCACCATAAGATGATTTGTCCAAAACATTGTCCCAGCTGAATTGTACCTGCATATTAGCACATGTGACAATATACAGTCAGGTTTTGATAGTCTAAAATCCTACTCGGAAATATAATAATATACTTGTACAGTATACAGTACATGTTCTTAGCTTGAAGATGGATCATCGAGGAGTCTCTGGCCCAAGGGGCAGGTGTTGAATTTATGCCATGATGACTTCTATACCCTGTAGTTGTTTGGACGTTCATGCTTCTATCGCATCTTGATATACACAATTAATTTAAATTTAAATGGATTTATTCTCAGTTGATAGAAATTACTAAAACGTCTAATGGTTAGGAAGTCGACTAACAGGTCTTATCTCCATCAGTGCTGTTGCTGGTCATTTCTCTATGAGAGTTAAGAACATAAGAACATAAGAATGGAGGAAACTGCAGCGGGCCTATTGGCCCATACTGGGCAGTCCGTTTACACCCAACCCCTATTGCTCATATGAGCATCCAACCTATGTTTGAAGCAATTCAGCGTATTCGAGTTAATGATGATATTTGGTAACTTGTTCCATTCATCCACTACTCTGTTTCCAAACCAGTGTTTACCTATTTCACGCCTAAATCTAAATTTGTCCAATTTAAAACCATTGTTACGAGTTCGCTCCTGGTTGGATAATTTGAGTACCTTTGTAATGTCCCCTTTGTTTAGCCCTGCCTTCCACTTATACACCTCTATCAGGTCGCCCCTCGCTCTACGTCTCTCAAGGGAGTGCAGATTAAGATGCTTTAACCTGTCTCTATACTCAAGGTTCCTAATGCCCGGGATTAGTCTTGTCATTCTCCTCTGAATTCTTTCCAAGGATTCTATATCCATTCTGTAATACGGTGACCAGAACTGAACTGCGTAATCCAGGTGTGGTCTCACAAGAGCAAGATACAGTTTTAGGATGACCTCGCTAGTCTTGTAACTAACACTCCTTTGTATGAACCCAAGTACTTTATTAGCCTTGTTACGAGCAAAAACACATTGTTTACTTGGCTTAAGGTTCCTACTTGTCATTACTCCTAAATCTCTCTCGCAGTCGGATTTCTCTATGGCATCGTTGTTCATCTGGTATCTGGTTTCCCTGTTTACATTTCCTATACTGAGTACTTTACATTTGTCGATGTTGAATTTCATCTGCCATTTTTCAGACCATTCGAAAAATTTGTTTAGATCCTCCTGTAGTTTTGCCGAGTCCTCGTCAGATTTGATAACACGTCCTATTTTAGTATCATCAGCAAATTTACTTATGTTGCTGTCTATGCCGATATCTATGTCGTTTATGTATATAATAAACAATAATGGTCCAAGTACTGAGCCTTGGGGAACTCCACTTGTGACGTTGCTCCAATGGGACTTAGTGCCGTTAATGCTCACTCGCTGTTTTCTGTCCTGTAACCACGCCCTAATCCATTTAAGGATGCCACCTTTGATGCCATGAGCTTCTACCTTTCTAATTAGTCTTTCGTGGGGGACTCTGTCGAAGGCTTTGCTAAAGTCGAGATATACCACATCATAATTGTGCCCCTCGTCCACTGATTCAAAAACTGATGAAAAGAATGTTAATAGATTAGTTAGGCAAGAACGTCCGCTTGTGAAGCCATGCTGGGAATCATTGATCAATCGGTGCTTCTCCAGGTGATTTCGAATAGAGTTTGAAATGATTGCTTCCAGTAATTTGCCTACTATTGATGTTAGACTGATTGGGCGGTAGTTAGAAGATAGTGATCTATCCCCCTTCTTGAAAATCGGTATTACATTCGCTATCCTCCAGGATTCTGGTACTACACCTGTTTTTAAGGACATGTTAAACAACTTTGCTAAGGGCATACTAAGCTCTTCCTTACATTCCTTTAATACTCTGGCAAATATCTCATCGGGACCAGGTGACTTATTAGGCTTTAGTTTGTCTATTTGCTTACTAACATCGTTACTAGTCACTACTATCTCACTTAATTTGTTTTCTTCACTATCTCTGAATAGAGTCGGTGCCTCGGGTATCATGTTTAGATTTTCGGTGGTGAAAACTGTTGAAAAATATTTATTCAAATTATTGCTCATTTCTCCGTCGTTATCAGTGAGCTCGCCGGAGTCTGACCGTATTGGTCCAATCTTTTCTCGTGTTTTAGTTTGATACATTTGGTAGAATCCTTTGGGGTTTGTCTTCGCCTCCCTTGCTATCCTTACCTCATTATTCCTCTTTGCTTTCCTTATCTCGGTTTTAACCCTACTCGCCAATACCCTATAATAGTCCCGGAGGTGAGTTTTCGCCACGATTTATCCTTCTACCTATAGCCTTCCTTTGGTGATGTTCTTTAAATAATTATTTATCCATTTAGGGTCGTTGTTGTCTGATCTGAGTTTTTTGTATGGTATGTTCTGCCTTTGTGCATTAAGTAACTCACTATTTAAATTGTCGTGGAACTCGGCAATCTCAGATCTCGTTATCAGGTCCGTGTCATCTGTCAGGTTCACGGCCAAGCGCGACACCCCCTCTCTCAGCTGCCTCTTTAAACTGTCAAAGTTTGCCCTTCTGAAATCTGGTACTTTAGTGGAATTTTCCTTACGTCTGCCCTGAAAATCTAACTGGAATCGAATTTCTTTGTGATCGCTGTTTGCAAGTTCGTTCCCTACCTCGACATTGCTAATGAGGTTTTCTCTGTTTGACAAAACTAAATCCAATATATTATTACCCCGTGTGGGTTCGGTTATATGTTGACTTAGGAAACAGTCCTGGATCGTCTCGAGAAAATCCTCTGATTCTGAGTTACCCGTAAGGTCGGTCCAATCTATTTGGCCAAGGTTAAAGTCGCCTACTATACAGACTTTGTTGTGTATGGAAGCCCTGCGCATTTCATCCCAGATAAGTCGCTCATTGACGCTATCAAGATTGGGGGGTCTATATATTACTCCTGTGATTAATTTTTCCCGACCGTCGCTTAATTCTATCCAAATTGTTTCTGTATTCCTCTCAGTTTTTATTTCCTTATTTATTTCACACTTCAGATTATCCCTAACATAGATTGCTACTCCGCCTCCTTTCCTGGTCTGCCTATCGGTATGGAACAGTTTGTAACCTGCAATTTGGTATTCGACTGGTAATTCACGTGTGTCTAGGTTGATCCATGTTTCAGTGAATGCAATTATATCGATTTCTTCGGTACATACCAAGGCCCTAATATCATCCATTTTGTTTCTCATACTTCTACTGTTCGCGTAGTATACATTTAAGTTAGTCGTGTTCTGAGTCCTCCCCTTACCGCGTTTAGTTTTAAACTCCCTGTCTAATTTAGTTTTGTCATCATTCCTAACACTATTTCCCTGTAATCTTTCGCCTTGTTTACCCGCTCCCACTGCAGTCTCCTCCACCCCCGTGCCCATATGTTCTCTTAGCAGTTTAAAGACTTCGATATCTTTTGAACTGCCCTCTAGAGCCCCAGCCAGGGTTGATGTTGGTCGTCGCCACGCCATAATGCTATGGTTGGCAGCCCCACGGCTCAATTCGCGGGAAAATATCTTAAGCCTAAATTTGATTTATCTCAAACTATAAATTATAATTATTAATATTTGGTAAACTTAAAACAATATTTCATTTCCAAGTAGCTTTTTATTAAATTTGGTAATTAAATAAATCGTAATTTAGAAAATCTGAATTTCACCACCCGCCGAAATAAGTTTTGGTAGTGTGGGAGTGAAGGAAACAACTACGAGATGGAGCTTTATTCCTGACGTTTCATTACTAGACTTTTGCAAAGGAATGAATACACAACATGGGTTACTGACAATTATACACAGAAATATGTACCGTGTTTCCTTCACTACCATCTGTCCACTATAAACAATGTTCAAAATAAGTTTTCTTTCTTACTAGTCATTCGAGCAGCACATTTAAACACTTACTTTGTTATCTTCTCCAAATAACTAGGAATATAGGCTTAGTATAAAGAAATATTTACAATTATATTTACATATTGCAATACTTTTCGCGACAATGCCAGTGACAATTTCTCGGAACTCAAAAGTACTAAACACTTTCTTGTAGCAGAGTATAATATGTATAAGAAACTCTAGATACTTCTTCGTAGCAAAGCTTTATAAGCCTAAAAAACTCTAAACACTTAATCCTGGCAAAGTACTGCAAGTATAAGTAATGCTTAACACTAACACTCGTCAAGTATTACAGGTAGAGTGGAGATACCTGCAGCTTGAGGTGCATAGTCTCGGGCAGGTCGTCGCCATACTGCCTCACCAATGCAATCGTCGCCTTGATGGGCTCGAACATGGCATCTGTAGAGTGAATCCTGTCCCTCACAGCTACCAAGTGGGCCATTATGGAGACCAGGATGTCGTAGTCCCCGTTACCAAGGTCTTGCGCTACACCAATCTCGGTCTCCTTGATGAACTTATCCAGTTCCGTCAGACTGTGTTCAGGTTATAAAGTATCTCTGTGATTTAAGTCTGATTTGAAAAGACGTCTAAACAAAATGCATATCAAGCATAAAATAATCATATATTATTTTTGTTCGTGTTCTGGGTAATAAGTTCAATATACAGGAGCGAACACAAACACCTGTATAGATTTTGTAGGTTCGATTTACTGGATAAGAGATATGTACACAAGGGGAGTAGCGCTCTTCAACCTGTCCGCTGGTCAACTGCTCTATAGACGACGTATGGCAAGTGATACATTAGCAGCTTCCATACGTCGCCAGGCACATTAATTAAGCATGTGGGACATTGATAAATACATTGCCACACGCTACTAGCTAGGCTAAATAAATAATACATAAATGGAGCACATACATAATATACATAGCATAATATAAATACAGCATACAGAATATACATACACCTCCCTCCCCCCTATACGCTCATAGCAAAGTCTTGAGCGGACCTTTTCTTTTGGATCCGTTCTGAGCGTCGAGGGACTAGATCACTGGGAAGGGTATGGGACTCAACACTGGTGGCGGGGTCAGCAGAAGGCATTGTTACGGGGCGGAGAAAACGGCGGTTCCTCCACCACACACGACCACTGGGTAACCGCACCTGGTAGTCCCGTGACCTACCGAGACCCATGACTACGCCTACTTTGTCCCAACGTAGGGAGGTCGGGTCCTGAACACGGACTTGGGTGCCGACACTCAACCTGGGGAGAGAACGGGCGTGGTCGTTGTAGCGGGCGACGACGTCTTGAACACGTTCGGCGGCTCGGCGATCACAATCCTCTGTCTTGGCCTGCCACTCCTTGGAGAAGGATTGAGGGTGAGCAGGGACACAAGAACGAAGGGGGCGTCCATACAAAACCTGGGCAGGGGAGCGTCCGGTGTAGTTAGGTGTGTTGCGGAGTTCAAGAAGACCCCGGTCGAAGGCCTCGCAGTCAATGTTCCCAGAAGGGGCCACCTTAAGGATGAGGTGCTTCAGGGATTTGACAGCAGCCTCAGCGTGGCCGTTGGACTGCGGGTAATGGGGCGATGACAACACATGCCGGACTCCCCATCGGTCGAGGAACACAGCAAAGTCCCGGCTTGTGAACTGAGGCCCTCCGTCGGTTCGCAGGCGCACAGGAACGCCCACGTCACGGAAGTAGTGGCGGAACTTGCTGATGGTGGCGGCAGACGTCGTGTCATTACCGCACTTGATGACAACCGGCCAACCAGAGAGACGGTCGATGATAACAAGGAAGGACTTTCCTGACACAGAGAAAAAGTCGGCTGACACAGACTCAAAGGGGCGGGTGGGGTTGTCGTCACTCATGAAGGGTTCCTGCTGCTGGCTGGGTTGTAATACTTGGCAGGGCTCACACGCACGGACAACATTGGAGATGTCGGAGTTGATGCCGGGCCAGAACACAGTCTGTCGTGCACGTCGTTTGGTGGCCTCAGCTCCACGGTGACTGTCGTGAAGGCGAGCCAAGACGTGGGGACGTGATGCAGCAGGGACAACTACACGTGCTCCGTACAGAACAAGGTCTCCGTCGCAGTAGAGTTCATTGCGGAGTTTCCAATACGGGAGCAGGGTGTTGTGAAGATCGTAGCGGTTGCTAGGAAATCCATTCCTCACACACTCGACAAGTCGGACGTAGGAAGGGTCATCTCGGGCCGCTGTTCGAAGGTCCTCCATTGCCTTGTCGTCATCTGGTGACAGGTCCGAACGAAGGGATTGGACGGCATGGAGAGTGACCACAGTCCTGACGGAAAGAGCGAGGTCGGCGTCGAGCACATGGTCTTCTGGAGTAGGGCGGCTGACAGGAGAGCGGGATAAGGCATCAGGGATGCAGAGCTCCTTACCAGCACGCCACACTGCTGTGAAGATGTACGCCGAGAGCTTCTCTTTCAGACGCTGGAGGCGAGGGTTCTCAACGGCGTCCAGCGTGTAGTGGTTGAGGATCGGGACAAGCGGGCGATGGTCGGTCACTAGGTGAAAGTGTTGCAGGCCTATGAGGTAAAACCTGCACTTGGACATCGCCCAAACCACAGCCAACAGCTCCAACTCAATAGTGGCGTAGCGCGTCTCAGTGTCAGAGAGGAAACGCGAGCCACACTGGACGAGCCGGAACTGCCCTCCACCATGATCCTGCAGTAGGGCGTATCCCACGCCATACAAGCGTGAGGCATCTGTCTGCAGAACTGTCGGCAAGGCTGGGTCAAACGTGGCGAGGACAGGTGGACGAGACAGGGCCTGTTTCACTTGCTGGAAGGCCTTGTCGTGGTCGGGGGTCCACAGGAATGTCCTCTTGGGGCTCATCAGGGGGCGAAGTGGTTGAGCAGCTGCGGAGATGTCCGACGAAAACTCTGCTAACTGGTTGACGAGACCGATGAAGGACCTCAAGTCGGTGAGGTTAGCAGGGGTGGGAAAATCCGTGATGGCGCGGACCTTTTCCGGGTCAGCTGCGATACCATTCCCTGAGAGGGTGTACCCACAAAAGTCAACTGAAGAGCTGGCCAGAACAAACTTGTCGGCATTTAGGGTAATGCCGTGCTTCCGGCACCTGTTGAGTACCTCGTAGATACGGCAGAGGTGATCCATATAATCCTCGTCGTACACGAGTATGTCGTCGACCACTTTCACGCAGTTTGCCAGACCTTGTAGAGCCATATCACCTCGAAGACAGAAAGCGTCTCCTGTAGCGGCGAATCCCATGGGGCCACGGCAATAACTGTAACGTCCATGCGGGGTGATGAAAGTTGTGAGTGGTCGGTCTTCTTCGGCAAGCTCTATCTGCCAGTATCCACACAGGCGTCCATCGTCGTGAAGAAGCGCGCCTTCGGGTTCACACTGCGTATAGCTGCAAAGGGCGTGGGAGAAGGGTGCGCAGGACGAGACACCTGGCTGTTGAGCTTGGAGAGGTCAGTGGTGATCCGAACACCACCTTTAGGTTTTGCGACGACAACCATAGGGTGACACCATGGAGACGGGTCATCGCCGGTTGGTGCAATAATTTCTTGGGCGACCATGGAGTCCAGCTCGTTTTTGACCGCCTCGCGGAAGGCCAGGGGAACCAGTCGAGGGGTGTAAATAGCGAAGGGCTTCGCGTCGTCCCTCAGGTGGATCCTCATGGGGGGACCTGCCATCTTCTTGAGAGGCTTGGATTCCAGAGCGGACTTGGTCACCAGAACGTCGCTGAATTCCTTCAGGAAGTACTTCCGAGCATCCGAAGGAGAGGTGTCACTGGCAAGAGGCAGGGGTAGGGCGGCAGCAGGGTCGTTGCTGCTCCCTTTTTGCACCCTGTTGGCGTGTTTTACCTCAAGAATAGGTTTGGGGAAGTCCTGGGAGATGATGGCCAACTCTTGACAATGTCTGTAGGACAGCAAAGGAGTCGGGACACCGTTATGCACATCAATCCAGGCTTGACACGACCTGTTGCCAAAGGTGACTTGTGCTTGGAGTGAACCCAGGGCCGGGGTCATCTGTGAACCATCTGCCATAAAGCGGAGATCCTTGGGGGGCGGTCCTAGATCACTTGGAGAGAGCCCCAAGCATTGCAAATGCTGGGGACCGATGACTGTAGCATCAGCGCCGGTGTCGGGCAACATCTGAAGACGGGATGACACACTGCGGTAGGTCACAATGACACTGATGTACTGGGGGACTTTGGTCCTGGGACGCGGGGGGGAGCACACATTCCTAATATGGCTCGAGCGTTGTCCAGGGTCGTCATGCTTCTGATTGGAAGACTGTGGGCGGCCCTCTCTGGTGGAAGGGAGCTGAAGCTTCCGCCGACGCTGTCCCTTGGGTTTGTTGGAAGGGCAACACTTGTCATAGTGGCCCAGACGACCGCACACATTGCACTGGACGCGTTTGGCTGGGCACCGTACTGTGAGTGACCAGTGGCCCTTACGGTCACAACTGTTGCATGTAGACTCAGCAGCTGGACACACCTGTGTTCCGTGCTGCTTACCACAGTTGTTACAAAATGAACCGGGCGTGGACGTGGTGGGCGAAGGCGTAGGAGCAGACTTCTTGTCCTTCTTGTACCGGGACACAGCGCGTACAGCTGTAGGGGGAGCTCGGATGGCAGAGGTGGCACACCTGGCAGCCTCATAGGAGCGACATATCGTCAACACATCCTTGAGAGAAGAGGAAGAGTCGAGGGAGGTGAGGCGTTGGACAAGTTCCTCGTCCTTAACACCCATCAGGATCACCTGCTTCAACTGGGTCTCCTCGCACTGCTGGTGGTGGCCTAGACATATATCTACCTCTTCCGAGGCTCTCTTAAGACGTACATAAAAGGCGTCAAAAGTCTCACCCTCCATCTGTCTGCAGCTAAACAATTCCCTCCTGCGCAGAGCTTCATTCTGCTGTCCTTTGATGTGCCGTTGTAGAATGTCCAGTACCTCCTCTACAGACAGCGAAGAGGTCGGAGGTACCTGCAGCGTATGTTCTAAGACACGCTGAATTTCCAAGGACAGGCACATACGCAGCTGGATGAGTTGTTTAGGCTGTGACAAACTCTGGAGATCCACCATTGTAGCATAATCAGTCCACCGTCGCCGTCATTCACGAAAAGTCTGGAAATTCACATCAGGCTTCAAGATGGGCGGTGTTTGAGCAGCTGCTTTAGGTGGGGCTGGTGGGCGTGAAGAGAGCATTGATGAGGTATCTGAACCATTCAGTACCGAGGCAGTGTTAGAGCCAGGGGCTTGGTTAACAGTGAGGCGAGATATCAAAGCTTCAAACCGTGCACTGTATTCCACTCTCCGTTGGTGGTCTCTCTCTGCCTCTGCTTGCCTTCTGTGTTCATCCGCCACACGTCTGTTAGCTTCATCCTCGCGCCTTTCATCTCTCATAAACTTAATTAAAGCAATTATCTCTGGAGACAACGCTGAATATCGAGGTGAAGGGCTGCGCGATGTTGTGGGAGCTGGAGCGTCATGGTCAGCCTGGTCATCCATCCCTGCGGAGCTATCATCCGACTGACTCATCCGGGCGCTGGCTCCACGGCTACGTAAGGCACGAGACATAACTACTTCATCTGTGTACTGTGTCTAAATCAGTGTTGACCGGTCAGCCCGTCGTATCAACAAGATCTCAGACAAAAAATTAATTAAATACACAGATAAGTAGATTATATATATAAAATATATATAAGGAAATCGCCAATGTCAGTGTGTTAGTACATGTATGTGTGTGTGCCAGGCGGGTGAGAGCGTCTCGCCTCGAGCTGTGAGGGGGATGGAGACGACACTGTGAGGGGGATGGAGACGACACTGTGAGGGGGGGTGAAGACGACGACTAGCGGCAGTTACCCTCCAGGCTTCGCGAGGGGAGGTGTACTGAAGTCTACTCCTTACAAATGCCCAGAACATGCCGTGTACCTTGGGAATCCTTTAGAACAAGGTCACACATGAATGGCACGAAACACACAATGCACTAAACACTTCACAGAAAATCACTCTCACTGACACTGCTCAAAGTTGCTAAATTCTTCGAGGAGGGGTGGCGGGCGGCGGTTGATTGACACAGGGAAGGAGTCCATAAGCCGGCTTTCCACAAACTTTGCACTGTCACTCGTAATTATCCAGTAAAACCGGTTCACTGCGCCATGTTCGTGTTCTGGGTAATAAGTTCAATATACAGGAGCGAACACAAACACCTGTATAGATTTTGTAGGTTCGATTTACTGGATAAGAGATATGTACACAAGGGGAGTAGAGCTCTTCAACCTGTCCGCTGGTCAACTGCTCTATAGACGACGTATGGCAAGTGATACATTAGCAGCTTCCATACGTCGCCAGGCACATTAATTAAGCATGTGGGACATTGATAAATACATTGCCACACGCTACTAGCTAGGCTAAATAAATAATACATAAATGGAGCACATACATAATATACATAGCATAATATAAATACAGCATACAGAATATACATACAATTTTAAAAAGAGATAACGAATGAACAGCTTATTAATTTTATCTGTTGTGAGGTGCCATGGCGATATTTACAAGCAAAATTGCATCTTAAGCTTTGGTAGGTAGCATAAAAGTCAGGCACTGAAAAAGGCAAGAGACAAAATGAGTGACACAGAAAACAGGTTAAATTCAAGGGTGACCAGTGAAGAGGTAAATGCACATTCTTATGGCGGCGGCACAAATGGGCACTTTCCTCCCAACCGTGCTGGGCCAACACGGTCCGGGCAGCAAAACAAGAGACATTTTCGTCACACTGGGATGTTTTGTTGGCGCGGCTGCCCAACCCAACAAAAACAACACAAAGCATCAAGACGAGATTCGCCATGGATCCCGTTAAAACAGTTAAAGTTTTGCAGGATTATGCTACAGCTTTTCAATTGTTGAAGCAAGTGAGGCATCTGCAAAAGCTAAAGAACACCCTGAATAATGATTTAATAATACTAAAGAAGTGATAAATAAATATAAACATTTCTCCATTTTATGTGTTATATATTAAATCACTACTTTTTCAGGATTTATTTCAATTTTTACTCAAATATTCAAGACCTAATATAATGCTCATTTGAGCACTAATCCGGCTAGTAAGGGTCGCCGCCAAACTGTTGTCCATTTCTGGCAACAGGCGAAGTCCTGCTGCTTGCTTGGCCATCAGACCAGTGGCCAGCAAAAATGGCCAACATGTTGGGAGGAAAGTGCCCAGTATGCTACCACCATTAGTTGTTCTTTTTAACATTTGAGATAAATAGCAACAAATGGTTTCTCTTAAACAATGAATAATAAATTAATACCCTTACCGATCTGTGACTTGACTTATAAGGTGCTGCTTGTACATGCGGGCCCATTTTTTGGTGTTTTCAAGCAAGCTATGTTTGAAAGGACGCACATCCAGCCGGAACCACTTATCAAATACCACAGTCGTCTCGATGGCCTCCAGCTCTGTATACAGCGCCTCATAACGGTCAATCTAGCCAGAGTAAGACAACAAAGAAGTATTACAAAGATCCTTGAGCAGCTCAATGGGAGGCTATTAACTGATAAAACTGGGTCTCACATGATGTTGGGGCCTTGTGATATTGTGTGAGAATTACATACAGAATAACATATTACTGTGTTAATTGCTCATGGCATACCTGTTGTCTAAACTGTGGCAGTGAGGGCTGGACACCATCATCGCCTGAGGTAAGAAACTTGTCAAGGACGTCACTACGTCGATCTTTCCAGAGCGCCTGGTGCTGCAAGAATTGATCCCGATGTTCTGTTGTTTTCGATGCTGCAACCTGGAATCTCCCCAGCAGCGTCTCCTTTAGCTCAACTATCTCCTCATCCTTCTCTACGTCTGGCTGGCGTAGGAAGGAAATAAAAATAAAATAACATATCACCTTCCCAGCATCGTCCCTCTTTTTCCAAAAAACCTTCTCTTCCTCTTCCCTATAGACCGATATTATGTGACTGAACCACTGGTACACGAGTCCTTCAGCTGCTTTCCCTATCACCTACTCACCAGGTAGGTGGGGTGGATGTGGGTGACCAGGCGAGGTACGAGAGTAGAGACGTAGAGAATGTCGTTGACTAGGGTCTCGGCTAAACCCCGAAGCTCCTCCAGGGTGGGTCGGATGTTAAGATGGGTGTCGTGTAGTTCCAGCCGTGCCTCCAACAATGGGAACTGATTCACTCGGGACTCACAGTTGTCCAACAGGTAGAATAAGCTATGAAAATCATAGGGATTTGTAAGAGAAACTGCAAAGTATGATCACAAAATTTACCCAAAAGCAGGAAAAGAAAGGAGGACAACAAAGAGAAAGGAAAGAAAAAATAAAACATGTAGAAATAATAAAAAGATTGTCAGGTCAAGATGGTGAGTGTATTTTAGCCAGCAAGTATAGATAACTTCAAATCCTGGTACAATATATTTTGAAAAACCTGCAGCACAACTCACTAATATGTTATTGATTTCTTTCTGGCCAACGCATGAAACACGTTCTTCCTACATTAGATTCAACGGTGTTACTTATCACCGGAAATTATTTATTATTGCATCAGCGTTTCCTAGTGACAGTGAGTTGCACTATTTAATGGATCTTCACTTGGGGAAAATGTTATAAAGGTTGATGGGATGCCTCACATTCATATATCTCCAGTACACATATACACACATGCTAGTGACACATTGCTGACATAATATTTGTTGCCACTGTGGTGTGACTCACCCAATACCCTTCACAGTTTATATTTTCTTGTGCCATCAGTAAAATTCCCAACTTATTTATAGTTCTCAATCGTTACTCAATGAATCATCCTCATCACTCATGTGTTTTTTTTTTTATTAAAGGCCATATTACACATTCATAAAGTATCATCAGGTAAGTCACAGTTTCAACTCACTTATCTCAAGTCTCATCACCATTAAGAATACTGCCAGTCAATATATGCTGAGATTATCTCTTTAATTAATTATCCCTATGGCTATAATACATATATCAATCTCATTTAATCATTTAATTCGAGTGTTCTTGAAAATATTTTAATTTATAGTTGATCATGTATTCCTTAATTCATAAAAGTTCAGGTAATTTTAATGGTTCCATAGTGGGAACCAAGAGCCAGGCACTCTAGTTCAAAACACAAAACGAACTACAGGTATATCAGTAACTCAAAAATAATCACTCCCCAGGCTTATCTTCTTTAGCCTTCGGTTTTTAATCTATGTACCATTATATTTCAACACTTTTAACTTCCCTCACTTTTATTGTCACTTCACTTTATATTTTATAATCCTAATTTTCTAAATGCCATGTACAATTGCCTCAAAGAATTCCTTTACTCCCTTCTGGTGATGTTTGCATAAATGTGGCAGAATTGCAACATTAATGTTATGAATGAATGGGTCATAGTCTTGTAACGATGGAGTGGATTGGTGGAAAAGTTTGGGTTCCCTGCCCCAAAGGTAAAATTGTGAGAGCTACCACACCACCACGGTATAGTGATGAATAAGTAATCCTCTTCAATCCTGTTATGATATCTCTCATGACAGCTATGAGCACACTTGGCAAGACAATCCCCACTGATGCCATGGCCACAGCACCTCGCTCCATGATACACACCTACTACTATCCGCATTTATATGTGCCGGTTAAAACCTTTTATTATGCTTGCCTGTTTCCCATGATTAGACTTAGGCTCGTACATTACACAGTGTAACCATGCATTAATAGACATATATTTAGGTGGTTTGACTGTGGTAGTGCTGGGTCACTGTGTGGGTACTTGGTCGAGGCTAGCTAGTATGGTGTTGCAGTCATTCATAAGACTGATCGCATTAAAAGTAAGTAAAATCTCCATTAGCCGGAATCCCTCTTAACCGGAACTCTCCGACAGCCGGAATTAAAATTTTCTCTGAAAATTGTTCCCAAAGCCACAATTTTCCGGAAAATTCCGGCTATGGGAACGATTTTCCGAGGCGCACATTTTCAGTAAATTCCGAGAAAAATTCTGGTACCCAGAAAATCCCAGAAAATTTCCGAGAAAGTTACAGTACTGTACAATACACAGAAAAATTCCGGGGATGGGGGATTTCTTCCTGGTTCAAGAGATGATGTAATGTGCAATTTCTGGAATTTCAAAGAACATTTTTCCATTATCCGGAAAATTCGAGGGATGAGGGATTTTTTTTCTGGCTTCAAGAGTCGTCTCGTTACCCGAAAATCTCTCATTCCCGGGAATGCTCTTCACCAATTATTCCAGTTTACAGAGAACCTGTAAGTAGATTCCCCATACCAGTGGAAACTAGTACCAGAAATTATTTAACTCAACACCCAGTAAATTACGTCTACAATATTATGTAATATAATCCTATTGCAAAAAATATGTGATAGTTGGGGTCAGGCAAAATGTATCAGTTATAAAAGAACAAGTAGCAGTAGCGCACCTGCAGCTGGCAGCATCGACGAGGCCTCGAGTTATCATGTGGTCAAGGAAGAGGAGGTACCTGTCCCAGTGTCTGGATGTGTCGGGAACTTTCAGGAGGGCCTTGTTCTCTTCCACCATGGCTGAGATCTTAGCTCCATCACGCTCCATGTTGCTGTACCTGAGGGGGACCAGAATCAAAAGGTTTGAGTAGCAACATGCAGTATATTGATCAAGATCAGCAGGTATGAGAGAGTTTATAATGACCCGAATCAACAGTCACTTGTCAAAATCTAGTTAGCTGAGCTTGCAGGATGACATATGTGAGAGGGTTTCTGAGATGAGTTATGGCAACCTTCACAACACCAATGGCGAAAGAGGATACAGGGTTAATACCACAATGGCTCCCAATGTTAGAGAAATTATCACTGTACAAATTACAGCAGTTAATAAGTAGATATATTACATGTATATTTCATAGGTAAAATATATTCTTTATTTTATACACTTTTTGTTCAAGTAAAGAACTATCATATATATATGTAGCATTCATTTCTTATACTCATTTGTTTTCAAGTAATCACATTCAAACCTACTTACACCTTTTTGAGTCTCTCAGCCTTATCGTCTAAGTTGAGTAACGTGTCTCTCTTGCCGTCACGCCTCTCAAAGATCGGTTTCTGGATCCAAGTGGCTAGAATATTGTCTAGACGCCTTACGTTGGCCTGTGCCTTCTGTACGCGGTTTTCCAGGTCACTCACGGAGTCCCGCAGCACCTCAATATACTCCCACACTCCTGCAGGAGAAAACCCTAGTTGTGTTACTAAATCAATTGTTTCATATAAATTTTTCTATCTATCATACACCTGAAAATTTCAAATATATGTCACAATAGGCTATGTGAAGCAGCGATCACCTTCCACCTTCTCTATGTATATTACTTCACAGTTCTAAGTAATTCAGAGTATTTCATGTTTTGCTGATGTCTCACTAGCCACTCATTAAGATTATAACCATGCTCTTCTGCACAACATATTTCCTTTAGCTCTATTTCTGCCCCCTGTCCCACTCTCTCTTATCTCTACTCATTAATTGCTTATACTCGTACAGGGTTTTTCATTTATATTTGAAACATTTTTATTGTCTGTATTTCAACAAAATAACAGTGTAGTGTATTTAAAATATAACTATTTTTTTCCATTTTACAGGCGAAGCCCTGAAGATTGAAACTATGGAATGTTGCTATGTACAAACACAGATTAATATTGTTAACCTGTATATCAAATGCGTCTCTGTTGTTGGAAGTCAAAAAACATTCTCTCTTTCAGTAGAATATTTTATGAAGATAGCATTTGTCCATCTAAGCACATGACACATCGCACAATGAGAACAAGAGAACACAAGAGACAAATGATGCAAAAGTTGCAGCAATTAACCAAAGGCAAAAGAAATTGATATGTTGCCTTCAACAGAAAAGGGTGTTGGTCAAACTATTCCCAGGCATTTACTCCACAAAAATCATCTATGGCCATACATTATCTGTGTTGGCACATCATACACTGAAAAAGAAAGATATACTGTATATATATATATATATATATATATATATATATATATATATATATATATATATATATATATATATATATATATATATATATATATATATATATATATATATATATATATATATATATATATATATATATATATATATATATATATATATATATATATATATATATATATATATATATATATATATATATATATATATATATATATATATATATATATACTGTATGAAAAAATTAAATAAAAATGTTTCGCTAGTGTTCTCTAACACACACATTACAACAACTAACTTTGCTGTCACTCGGAAACGAGTATGACGATCATCCAGCTATGATACAATATGAGTTATTAAGGATATCACCTTGGGTGGTGTGTTCTGAGGTGACTAAAGAGGCCGATGCGGGACCGGCAGGGTCGATCACAGATGCTGCATCCAGTGCGGGAGGCGCTTGTCTGCCTCGCTATGCAGTCGGGCTAGCTCGAAAGTATTGTATTTTTATCCTCTTCACCAAAAGAGAGGCTCGCTAGCCGCCCGGGCGATCGGTCACGTCTCTGTCAAGCACTGTTGGCAAGTACTGGGCATGCACCGGCTCCTGAATGTACCTGAATCTGCCCCAGTGTTGGTCAAGTTTTGTCTTAAAAGAGGTCACATTCGATGCCGTCACAACACTTTCTGGTAGATTGTTCTAAGAGTTTACAACACTCACTCCCAAAAAGTTTGCCCTCACAGTTTTCTGGACTTGCGGCTTCTTCAATCTTGAGCTGTAACCCCTTGTGGGGCGAGCGTCCGCCAGCTCCAAGTAAGGACACTCGACTGAGTAGTGCCCCCTGAGATGCTTGTACACCTCAACTAGGTCACCCCTTTCCCGTCTGTAGTATAAGCTAGGCAAGTTTAGGCGCTCCAATCTCTCAGGGTAGCTGAGGTGCCAAAGTGCAGGCACCAGTCTGGTGGCCCTTCTTTCAAAATTTTCAAGCAACTGACAGTCCTTAGCATATCTCGGGGACCAGACGGGGTGACAGTACTCCAGATGGGGAAGCACTTCACTCTTGAAGATCATTACGAGGGACGGACCGTCTAGATGTCTGAACGACCTTCTTATAAGACCCAATAATTTATTTGCCTGATTTACCTTCTTCTTGCAATGGCCCGAGAACTTCATCTCATTGTCAACATACACATCAAGGTCCTTCTCACATTCAGTGTCAACTAGTGCAGTTTCTTCATCCCGTTGGGACATATGATACGCCTCCTTACCGTTGGTACGCCCCAGGTGCATCCTCCTACACTTCGTGACATTGAATCTCAGCAGCCATTTCTTCGACCATTCTTGGAGCCCACAGAGGTCCTTCTGTAGCTCTTCACAGTCCGCCTGGTTCTTGATTTCCCGAAATAACTTAGCGTCATCGGCAAACATTTGTATGGAGGAGTGTACAACGCCAGGCATGTCATTTATGAAACAAACAAACAACAGCTGGCCCAATACACTGCTCTGTGGTACCCCACTTGTGACAGGTACGGATGACGATTTCGTGACATTAATCACCACACACTGCTTGCGGTCATGTAGAAAGTCTTCTATCCACGCTAGGACATTTCCCTGAATTCCCTACCATTCCAGTTTAATTTTCAGTCTTTCATGGGGTACACTGTCGAAAGCCTTGGCAAAATCTAGGTAAATATTGTCGATATTACCACCCCGTTCCAGAGTATGGGTTCAAATATCCAATACTTTGAGCAATTATGTTAAGCAGGAGCGCCCCGGCATAAAACTGTGTTGGCAATCCTTTACAAGGTTGTTTCGTATTAGATATTCCATTGCGGCAGCTCTGATAATACTCTCAAGTACTTTACATATTATGCTGGTCAGGCTCACCCCGGTCTATAGTTGTCCGTGGAGTGACGATCGCCCTTCTTGAAGATATGACTCACATCAGCCACTTCCCATTCACTGGGGACCATTTGTTCATCCAGGCATTTACAAAACAGGATCTTCAGGGGCTCGGCAAGCTCGTTGCCCAACTTTCTTAGCACTCTAGGATGCACCATGTCAGGGCCGGGACTCTTATGTACCTTTAGCCTGGACAGTTTATTTCCAATGCCCTCTTCTGTGAACACAATGTGGGTCAGTGCTATGTCAAACCGTCTGTCCTCAAACGCAGGAAGGTTAATTGACACCATGTGTGGTGACCCTCCAAGCGTTACGGTGTGGGGTAATCATCTCCCAGGTGAGGGGGTCGATTTGGCACTTTTTCAGGTTTGTCTTAAGACTATGCTTATACCTTTTCAGTTGCCCGCCAGCGTTAAGTGACTGTAAAGTAGCTGCTTTGGAAGTCTACTGTCGTCCATGCGGGTAACATGGCCAGTCCAGCGTTGTTGTTCATGGATTATGGTAGCCTCGATGCTTCTGCAGTTGGTGTCGACAAGAATATATCATATGTTTTTTTTGTCTTCCCAGCGAACTAGGAGGGTGGAACGTAGACTATACGTTGCTGAAAGTTTTCAAGTGCCTTGAGGTGCCATATAGCAGGGTGGGGAGGACCACTGCTCGATATAAGTGTAACTTTATAGAAAATTTCAGCTTCACACACGCACACACACACACACGCACATACGCTTACACACGCACACCTATAATAATCTGTCAACGTCTCGGTAAGCACATTTACCATCTTCAAAAACATCTTGGCTGCTAATTACAGTCTTAATATGAATCATAAAAAGTTTCTTATGCTTATTAATGTAATATTTTCTCGGATTTTTTTAATGTGTTTACAAGTCAATAAAACTGCTCACATCGGAGTGAGTCGTATTCCTAAGACTCCATCCGTGCCAGGCAGTCCTCCAGCCTCAGACTATCTTACCCTCAGAGTTCCAGGTGAGTTCCTTTTCGGACCTCAGGATCGTTTCGTCTATGTCGTCCATCTCTTGTTTGATGAGGTTGAATTCAACATCATTGGTATTTATTCTAATGTGATTGTACCTGCAAGAATTGCAACAAGAAATAATTATTATAAAATGTAAAATTTTATTGCTCGGCTGAGTTCAGTGATGGTACTTTAATAGTTAAATAAAGAACACCGTCATGACTATATCAGTCATTTCTCTGTAGATAGATAGGGATAAAGAGGAGAGAACATTGTTGAGAAGTAAGATGGTGATAAGTACGGGTTAATAAACAGATTCTACTTGTCAGTTCACTTGAGATTAAAAATATTTTTTTGTAGTGAGTCATGTTTATATTAAAATCTTTGGAATATGTTGGTTGAAGGGTGAAAGTTAATTTTTTTTTTTATTATTATTTTATATCTTTTAGAAAACCGTCACTAATCGAAGAGAAAGTTTGGCTAAGTCTTCAGTCTTTATTTGTTCATACTGATAGGGGATAGTGAAGAGTGATGTAAAGGACATGTACTGTGCATGTATAATCATATGAATGAGATTTACAAAGTCAGAACCTAACCATCGTGGATGCAAGTCACTAAACTACTATGCGTACCATCACGCCAACAAGACCCTCCCCAAAAATCTTACCAGTCAGTGACCAGTTGCAGGTTGGTGGTGTATTTTCTGAAGGTGCTACGACAGGAGGCCAGCTCTGCGCCATCTTTAACGCCCTCGCCCACCACCCACACGTATCTCAGCTCCTGAAGCGCTCTCACCAGCTGATCAAGTATGAAAGGTACTTTGAATGATGAAAGGGGTAAGAGTTGACAGTATTGTCGAGTGATTCCTTGTAACCATATATCACCACAAGTGTAAAAGCCAGAAGTCTAGGAATAAAGAAAGATGTGCTGTACAGGGATGGAACAATTCTAAAGGCAGAGGGTGAAATTATGGGCAAGTTTCCTTACGCTATTTGCCTGTCTACCCTGAAGTAATTGGGAACCTGGAGGTTAATCGATTTGCTGATCGTGTTCCGGGGTAATGGTCAGCCAGTGCAGTTGGCGAGTTGTCCGGTCTTCTCGGACTATTCCTTGACACTGGATCATGCAACTCGCTAACTCAGGGTGTGGTTGTTGTGTTTGCGACAGTTTCTACACGAGGGGCAACCATTATGTATGTATGTAAGTATGTATGTATGTATGTATGTATATATGCATGTATGTATGTATGTATGTATGTATTCAAAAATATCCTCAAAATATCTCCAAACTTCAAGGAAACTTTGCACATTCAACGATGATCTGCCTGCTAGTTGTCTCTTCCAAATTAGCAGGTGTGGCACTGGTTAAGGATCAGCACACAGTACAAAGTCGACACTTTATAAACCCTGAGTTATCTTTTACTAGTGATGAGGTGTCACACACTATGGGGGGTGGCTGGTAGTTGTGAGGTGTCACACACTATGGGGGCCGGCTGGTAGTTGTGAGGCGTCACACACTATGGGGGCTGGCTGGTAGTTGTGAGGTGTCACACACTATGGGGGGGCTGGTAGTTGTGAGGTGTCACACTATGGGGGCTGGCTGGTAGTTGTGAGGTGTCACACACTATGGGGGCTGGCTGGTAGTTGTGAGGTGTCACATACTATGGGGGCTGGCTGGTAGTTGTGAGGTGTCACACACTATGGAGGCTGGCTGGTAGTTGTGAGGTGACACATACTATGGGGGCTGGCTGGACAATTCATAGCAAGGAATTTCCGTTGGCTAGTTCAATCGCTACAAAAATCTCCTACCATTTGGGTCAACATGTTTGTGTGAGCCAGGATTTTCGGCCCTCTTGAGCATCTGTAGTATAGATAGGAACAGACTGAACCCTGACAGTGATATGAGATGTGCCTTGACAAAGTTATCCCTACGTATTCAAGAAATGGTCAACCGAAAGTGCCATTTTGCTCATTAGTGAAAGTTCTTATCAGTTCAATGACTTGTATTTCATATTCACTATTTTAATTACTGTATAATTCTCAGTTAACAATAAAGGAGAGTTGAAATTAAATAGCAAGGTTTATTTCCAAAATGCAAATCATGATAATGAAGAAAGTGACCTTGACCAAAAATAGTATGGAAATACACAGTTGACAAACCTATGTCGGGGTAATGAGTATTGTTGTCAGACTTGTTTTGGGGTAATGGCTAAAACTAATTGAGAACCACGACACCAGGGGGTGGCTGAGAAGTGTGGGGAGTCGTCACACTAGGGGGTGGCTGAGAAGTGTGGGGAGTCGTCACACTAGGAGGCTGTTAGTAAGTGTGGGGGGTTGTCACACTAGGGGGTGGCTGAGAAGTGTGGGGAGTCGTCACGGTCGTACCTCTGAGCTGAAGTTAACAGCGATGGTAGAGTCGTGACGACGTTGGAGGATGGGCTGACTGAGGGCGTGAGTGTAGTCAGCAGAAGCCAAAGCTCTCCACTCCTCCACTACCTTTTTCATGTACTCTTCCAGTCCACTCTGCACCTCCTGCCACTGCCGCTGAAGGGACACGCCCTCCTCACTACTAACCAGGCTGCGGAGTGTAACCAATTTAGTTTTAATTAATTTAATATCAAAACTGATTTTTATTGATGTTTAAAAGTGTACTGTAAATCTTTGTGAAATAGAATTATGAAACAAACTATTTGAGTTACCCCTTTAAACGATAAACAAGTGGAGAGAGAATGGGAAGTAAATGCCAAGTTCAGCATTTATTTGTAAGAGTATCTAGAATCTTTAGAATATTGACGTTATTTTGAAATGTTAACTTACCTGAAGTATTGTGTGAACAAGCAGAATGATTAATAATCTTTGTGAAATAAATTTGAAGTCTTAAATCTTTGTAACTCACGAGAAAATGCATGAAGAAAGGAAATATTTTACCCCATGAAACTGATTAAGAAAAAATAAAAAACAAATTGTAACATGTTAACATGTATTAAGATCGGCCCAGAATGAGATCCAAGCCACCCATGGCACATGGTATTATTTTTATCACTTTGACTTGATCATGTCTACTACGACTTTTTGTGAGTATGTGCAATAATCAGGGCCGGCCACCAGCTATGTACGGTCTGTGCGGCCGCACAGGGCCCCCTATCACTTGGGGGGGGGGCCCTTCCTAATACAATATATTTGTTGCTTAGTAGGCTTCGTATTTCAATTCTGGTGTCGTGTGGCGTGCGCTTGTCAAAACCACAGGCGAGTTAGTTTCAGCCATCTGGTGGTTTCTGTCTATAAAAACCTGGCAACAGATACTGATTTACCTTCCTGTTATATATTTGTATGTATGTTTAAATAACAGTATATAATATTGGGTGGGCGCTTTTATCCAGACAACAGTCTCATAGACAATCAGGAATATACTGTATGTGGGTGATAGACTGGGCACAATAGGAGGGTTGTCTAAGGAATGGGGGCCCCCAAACATTGTCTTGCAAAGGGCCCCTCAGAAGTTAAAGCCGGCCCTGGCCTCACGTGTGTTTAGGTCGATAAATAGGTACGTCACATGTGTTTAGGTCAATAATTTTATGATTTAATTTACCTGGAATAGTGTAAATGTTTGCTGTGTTAAGTCACCTTTTCAAGACCAATTTGGTACAGGTACTGTATGTTCCAAATGTTTATCTGAATATCGAGTTGGAAAATGATCACTGGGTGGGAGTAATTTGGACCTGGACATAAGAACAGATAAGTGGTGAATATTTATGCTTATCAATGTAGCGAGGGAAGTTCACTGGCGTTAGTTGTGAATTTACAAGTTGGAAAAGTTTTTATGTGTATTTCCACTAAGAAATTATGACTGGACTTGTTTGAACTTAATTTTCATTAGTATCCATATGATATGATAAGTGATAAGAGTTAAAAAAAAGTATTCTGCCTCATAAATGTATGTGATTACTGTACTTTTTATTTTATCTCTAGAATATTTTTTGCATATTTAATATTGTTCTTTTAATAATTAAGTGAAATTAAATTTTAAACTGAGTTTCAATATTCATCTCAATGGGATAACATAAAGATTGATAACATTGTCTTAAAAGCTGGTGCTACCAAAATTAACCAACTGTCTACCCCTCAAGCTCAACTTTAATTACCTTGTCTGAATCACAAAAAATAAGGAATATTCTCAAAAGGTCTAATGGAAATAATATGTGTGATTACTGCAAGTCCCGCACACACACTGTAAAAAATATTATTAGATTTGTGCAGTTTAACAGGAGTGAAGACGATTAACTTCAAAATTGGTGAATCTGATCTGTTGGTTGTTTTATTTTTTTCTTAATATATTATCTAGGACTACACGTAAAATAATGGACAGAGCGTAAACAGTCCCTGACATATTACTCACGGGTGACTCAGCTGAGAAAAAGTCTGCATGTTTCCTGCCACTCGGTCATTCACTTCCCTGAGGCACTTGAGTTTTCCCACCACAGGAGGGAAGTAGCGGTGAGGTACGCTGTAGGGGTCGTCGTCCTTACCCCTCATCTGCACCACATCATCATCCTCAAACACTTCCTCAGGGCGGCCATCTTCGTCTTGTAATACAGTCGTGCCTTGTTGCCATTGTTCAAACAACTCCTGGGTTGGTGCCAAGAAGAGAAGCATTGTGAATTGGAGTCATTTTACTCCTACGTTGATTAAAAAAAAATATTAAAGTTGTTGTCGTAGTTTTATATTCATATCAAAGAAGAGATTCCAATGTCATTTGACCAGCAGAATAAAAAATAAATCTTTGTTTAGATATATGGTAAATGCATTTTGTACTATCTTCGACACTTTTATATTTGAACAAATGAAAAGAACAGAGTGATCACCCAAGTGTCCTCGTCAGACTATACACCGAGGTGTCCACGCCCACATTTGAAGCAGGATGATTTGACCAGAGGGAGCTTATAGGAAAACCCGCTAAGGCAATGACCACATACCTTGGCGGCCTCAATCTCGTTCTTCAGGAGTAACAACAGGTGGGGGAGGCAAGTGGTGTACTCTGTTTGTATGATGGAACGCTCCAGCATACTACCTAACAGCTCCACCACCTGTCCAGGTCACACGTGTAGTAAGTTTGCTTATATATATATATATATATATATATATATATATATATATATATATATATATATATATATATATATATATATATATATATATATATATATATATATATATATATATATATATATATATATCCTGTGTCAGTTTTGATGTTTTGAAATAAGATTATTACAAGGTTTTATAATTCCTGAACTGACAACTCTTTATGTGTAGTTAACTGTGTGTGTGTGTGTGTGTGTGTGTGTGTGTGTGTGTGTCAAACTGAGAATGATATATAAGTTTTGTGTGAATATTTTTTGTGAAAGGAATAATGAATATGTTTTTGCATATATATAACCATTAAATTAGCTGTCCACATATCAACTGATGCCAAAAGAGCAAGGCACTCTAAAACTAGCCTGCACTTCGAACCTTAAAGTAAGACTCGGGACTTTGGCTCTCCTGAAGGGCGTGTTTCACTATGAGACTGAGGCGCTGCTCCAGCTCAGTCACCTTCCTCTTGAATTGTTGATGGCCCTCGTCGAAGGCGTCTTCAGCTGGGTCCAAGCAGTCGTACGTGCGGATGGAGAACGCTGTGTAGGCCTCGTTGAATTCACTTTGGAGAGAAAGAGAGGAAGTGGAGGAGTCAACTGCTGGGTTGTAAAGAAGAATGCACGGGGCTGTGTGTTGACGTGTGTGGGGGATGAAGTAGAGATTTTGTTCACTGGTGGTGGAAAAAAGTGTGGGAGACTTACAGTTGTACTGGTGGTCAAGTGAGAGAGAGTATCACCTGAAAACAGATGAGATGTTGGCACCGAGAACTTTGCCTTTTGGACCTCCAAATTCCACCTTCTCAATCTTCAGGAATTCCTTAGCGACGTCGAAGATCTCCTGCAAAAAGAACACACGACTGGTCATTATCATGATGATGGTGAAAGATTGGCCAAACAATATTATAATGGATCAGAAGGGTTTACCATAACGTAATGTTTTTAAAAAAGTTCATGAAACTTTACACTATTCTATTATGACTAATCGCTGAATATGACTACCGCCTTAAGCTTTTTTTTTTAATTTATCGTGAGTCTTTGACACTGTAAACTAAATGTAAGTATGAACAAGTATGGTGAAAATGAGGGCACTAACTTTGATATTAGCAAGACGTGACAGGAACTGGTCCATCCGGGAGAAGGCGTGCGTAGGGTGGAACTCCCAACGTCGGGGCCGCTCTTCCTCCTTAAAGTATGAATGTACCTTTTCTCGGTGTTCCTGGAAGCTGTCTCTGAAAGACGAAGGCCAACAATCTTCTGTTGGTCTTTAAAAAACGGTAAGCCATGGGGATTTCATGTTGTCTTCCATGAGTGAAAGCTTGTGAAGAAATTGAGTACTTCGAATCTAAAGCACGGATGACAAGTGTCTGGCACTACATGAACTTCTGTGCTGTCATCTACCTGTCTCTTCCTTCATTAATGATGATCTCACTGATGATGGCCAGGTCCTACTATCTCCCAGTCTTTCTATCTACGTGGACTGTGATCAAACTAACTCATTTACATATTTAGTATATTCCTTAAGTTTGTTTAGGAGTAAGTTACAATACTTACTCTAAAAAACTTAAGTAATAAACGAAAGGAATAAGCACATATTTCTTGGTTCTCACAACAATCCTGATCAAACGGTGGAGTAGAAAAACTTGACTCTGATGACCATGTGCAGCGCATAAGGTACCGGGAAATGTTACTGAAGTAAAAGTACTGTTAAGACCCAGAAAATGTCCCTGCCTCCCCCACCCCTGCCTGCTCCCTGAGATACTGTGAGTTAGAGGGAATGAGGCAGTGAGCACACAGGGAAGGAAAGAGGCAGGGTGCAGGTAGGGAGGAAAGGAGGCAGGTAGGGAAGAAAGTTGACTCTTTCTGGGACACCCTCTATATATATATATATATATATATATATATATATATATATATATATATATATATATATATATATATATATATATATATATATATATATATATATATATATATATATATATATATATATATATGTAATATTCAGAAATTTCAGTGTAATTTCAAACGCCGCGCCATTGGCGATACTGAGCTTTCAAGGTCGTCTGAGGGAAGAGAGCGCTCCCCGCACATAGCGAGAGGTTGTGGAACTAGGCCTATATGATATTAAATGTAATTTGCCGAATTAATAATGATGCGATTCATGAAGTTAAGGGACTATTATTGAATTTGAAATTATTATAGATCGTTTATCAGTCTGAATAATGTTACGGGTGTCCCAAGGAGTTATTAGTTAGGCGGAAAATATGTCACGTAGGCCTAAGCTAACGCCTTGAGAGGACACGAGGCGGGCTCTCTCTCAGTCACGGGGAAGCATTCAGACAAACAAGACGTCCCTGCGCGTCCGTCACAGAAATAGTCACGTGGTCTAGTCACCTGTGTTGCGCTATTGCAGTATAACAAGTAAGTCTCATTCGATCTCAGACAGGGTTAGATAGGGCAGTGGTAAAGTTAACAAGAGCTAACAGTGAGTTCATTTCAGGGTTTCCGTCAGAACCCACTTGACCGCGAGTTTGACTGGGAGAAGTTGGCTGAGAGAGACTGACTGCCGTTTGAGACTGCCGTTGATGATTGAGGCTTGGCGATTGTCGCCTTCGGAACGATCAGTGTAGGCTTGTCACTGGTTAGCGGGGTAGCAAAGGATCTCTTGAGTGAACGAGTGCTCCCGACAACTAAAACGACACCGGGCCAGCATCAGCAGTGGGTGATCAGTTCTTACCACGTGGGTGCACAACACCACGTGTCCTCGGTCAGCTAGAAGTGTTACCTACTGGCCATAGACACCTGCTGGCGTTCTCTCTTCCTGCCCATGGACGCACTGGGAGTACACTGAGGCTATCTGAGTAAATTAATGGTCACACACTGAGACCATGAGTCTAGGGGATACCTAGAGGAACATTTTATCTCCCTTATTACGGGTGTATGTTGAGTTGGGTGGAGCATGGTTCACGAGTATTGGTGGACCCAGTAACATATCAATAATAGTGACTATATTTGTGTGTAGTTAGTACCATTTTTTCAGTTACTGATATTATCTTGACGTGTGTGGTAATAGTTCTTAATTGATTTTGATAGTATTGTTTTTGAATGTTTGTGTCACTAAGTGGAACCAGAGTGATACTGTGATTTAATTCCTTTAATGCATTTAATTTTTCTTTATAATTCCAATCTCAGGTATAACCTTTGTTCCCCAGAGTAGTGTTTAAGTTAGGGTAGGAATTGTGCATCTGTTGGGGTGATATAATTTTGTTGAAAGCCCTTAAGGCCTGTTTCATGTGTGCAAGCAACATTTCTTAATACTTTAAATTTATTGTTGCCTGAGTTTCTAATAATTTCAATATCATGTATAACTTTTATTCCCCAGAGTAGTGTTTTAAGTTCAAGTTAAGAGGTGCGCATATTGGTGTACCATTATTTGGTTGTGTTTGCAGTGTTGGAGGGAATAAAAGTGTCTAAATTTTACAGTGTGTCTCATTCATCCCAGTCACAGACGCTATCCTTCCACGGGTCACGGACAAGTCATTTTGTTAAGTAGATTTAAGTGTTCTTGTGCTGGTTCGGGATTTTTCTCAAAGGGGTGCTTCCACTGCAATTGCCATCTAACAATCTTTAATAAACCCCAAGTCAAGTGAGAAATTAAAGTCCAGTAAATTCCGACCGGTTACATATATATATGCAGGTAAATTACTGTAGGTGCGCGTGATACCTTGTTTTGTACTGCTCCTTAGTCTGTACTCACCCCTAATATAATTACATATCTTCGTATTTATTTCCTATTATCTATATATATATATATATATATATATATATATATATATATATATATATATATATATATATATATATATATATATATATATATCATTGCAACCCCACCGTGGGAGAATATAAAGCCAACAAAAATAAGATTACAGTATACTGTATTTTGAGCGTAACCTACGGTCCTTTTCTCCTCTTAGGAAATGACATAAACAGTTAAAGATTAATGATTTATAGGAGTGTCAAATGACGGCAAGTGGCGTGACTACAGAAGGTGGTTTATGGCAGCGAATGTCAGGACCCATGATAACAGATAAGATCCTATGACTGGTGACTAATCCTGATACACTGATGGCAAGCAGCACATCTAGGTATTATACCATTAGGTAGGAATGTGTTATTCTCATATTATATATATAATGGCAATAGTCAGATGTAATGGTTCTAATTGGTTTATCTAAATTCAGCCGATAGCGGATACTTCCAAAAGTAACGAAGCAAAAGTGCATTACTTAAGCCGAAAAGTTACTCAAGTAGAAGTATAGGTGCAAAAAAGTAAAGTACATTTAAGTGTTCAAATCCTCCAGAAAATTACTTGAATAAAGTAATGAAATACTACTACCTCGTTACTGGGCATCTTTGGTTACCCTACACCATTGGGGTTTTTTCATGTGAGGGGAAGGTGTTAAATATTACATAATAGAGTGACAGGGCCGACGTTTAAAGAGAAAAGCTCACCTGAACGTCTTGAGGACAGAGACGCAGGTGTTGATCTTCTGAAGTGGCTCCGTAGTTTCGGCCTGGAACCCCACAGTCCCTATGAAGTTGCGCCCCTGTAGACGAGCAAAACTCGACCGTGAGTCTCCATTCTCTCAGCATATTCATTTTCAACAGATCAGTCAACTAACTACTCACCACTTGCTGAATCTTACACAGCAATTACGATTGGACTAACCCCAAGCCTCAGCAAAGTGACCCCTTACTGAAGACGCTGGTTGAGAGGGTCATTCTGAAGGGATAAAACTATTGTCCTCAAAGGGTTAAACCAGCGTCCTTAAGAGGTTAAACAATTGCCTTCAAAGGGATACACTAATGCCTCGTTAAGATTAAACTATCGTCCTCAGATGGTTTATCCATCACCCCCAAAAGCTTAACAAAATCATTATTGCGAGTATCATCTGATAATAACACACTATTGTATGCACAGCACTAACTTAAAATTCCTCTTACGATGCTGATATTAAAAATTATATTTTACATATATATATATATATTTTTTTTTTATCTGAATCTACCTAAACCTTTCGAATTCACAAAAAACTTCAAGGATATGAATCTACAAAAAAATTCCGAATCAGAATTTAAAACAATTCTTGAAGCTGAATCTACTTAAATATCTTGAACTTACATACAGTCCCTAAATATACATAAACACTGTGTCTCTGTCCCACAACAAACAATATCTCAGACAACATGCAGTAGCCATCAAGACTTGTCTTCCTTACCATACTGATGAGCAGGTTAGTAATTTCTCTGAAGAGGGTGACGATGCGGTCAGGCTTGCGGTAAGCGGGACAGGTGGCCCACAAGAGACATATACAGTGCATGAGGGGAGGGATGAGTGGCGGAGCGTCCTGGAACTCCCCAGCCTCCAGACCCTCCAGCAGGGGTTTGAGGGGTGTCAGATGGATCATGACGTCCCTCGCCTCCTCCACAGCTGCGGGACGAACTAGCGCTAGACACTTGTCATACAAACAATGTCATAGGTCCTAAGTTTCAAGTCAACATGGTAACTAAAGAGGTTGAACATGATTTATGCGCAAATCTCAATGAAAGATGTAATATGATGTAATTCGTACCAGGTGATATGATGTCAGGTGACCTGAGCACAAAATATTTTACCAGGTGTGTACTGTTTTAGCTCCCGGGGATTAACTGGCAGTGCAATGGCTAGTTTTAGTTGTGAGCAGCTATGTGCCCTTCTGAGGGCCGAGTTAGTGAAGGTAAAGGACAAAACTTGAAATTAAAGGAAGTGACAGGGAGAGTCTGACGAAAACACAGGCCAATGGAGGGTTGAGACGAATGACCAAACTGGTGGTGAAGAAAGATAAGGAAACGAATACAGCTAAGTGTATTAACTTTTTTAATAAGTTAATAAACGAATTGGACGGGAACATAGTCAAAAACAGGGCTGACAAGGAAGGTATGAATACCTTAATTATTGGTGATTCCCAGGTATGGTACCTGGATAGAGCTTTTTGTGTCAAAATAGAAATAGGATGCGAGTGCTTGCCAGGAGCTGGGGTGGGGGATAAAGTTGAAAGGATGGACAATATCTTGCCTGGTAATGGGAACAAACCCATTATTTGCCTCAGTGCAGGAGGCAATGATATTGGCCGGTGTAGGAGTGAGGTGCTCCTTGATAAGATCAAGACAATTATCGAACATATTTGGGTGAAGGGAGGGATCCCTATCATATGTGGTGTCCTGTCTAGAAGAGGAGTTGGCAATGAATGGTTGTCAAGGGCAGTTGGTATCAACAGCTATCTTGACAAATACTGCAATTCACCATCAGTCACATTCATTGACAACTGGGACAACTTTTACGGAAGAAGGAACCTTTATGCTAGGAAAGGGATGCACTTGTCTAGGGATGGGATGGCAACCCTGGCTGGCTCTCTTGAGAGGGCAGTTCAAAAGATTTTGAAGTCTTTAAATTGCGAGGGGAGCACGTGAGCCCGGGGATCGAGGAGGAGGCAGTGGAAGCGGGTAAACAAAGTGAAAGGTTACAGAGAAATGGTGTTAGGGATGATGACAAAGCTCAATTAGGCAGGGAGTTAAAACCTACACGCGACAAAGAGAGGACTCATATCACAACTAACTTAAATGTAGAAGTATGGGAAACAAAATGGATGAAATGAGGGCGTTGGTATGTACCGAAAAAATCGATATCATAGCATTCACCGAAACATGGATAAACTTATACTCGTGTGAGTTACCTGTCGAATACCAAATTAAAGGTTACAAATTATAACATACCGGTAGGCAGATTAGGAAAGGAGGCGGGGTAACAATCTATGTCAAGGATACTCTGAAATGTGAAATCAATAAGGAAATAAAAACTGAACAGAATACAGAAACAATTTGATTAGAAATAACCGTTGGTAGGGAAAATTAATCAATGAAGTAATATATAGACCTCCTAATGTCGATGGAGTTAATGAGCGACTTATTTGGGATGAAATGCGCAGAGCATCCAGACATAGCCAAGTATGTATAGTAGCGACTTTAACTTTACTCAAAAAGAATCGACCGACCTTATAAGTAGCTCAGATTCAAAGGATTTTATTGAAACAGTTCAGGACTGTTTCCTAAGTCAACATATAACCGAACCCACCCAGGAATTTGCTTAAAGTGTAGAAGCTGTCACCAACACAACAACCACACCCTAAGTTAACGAGCTGCATGATCCAGTGTCAAGGAATAGTCCGAGAAGACCGGACAGCTCGCCAACTGCACCGGCTAACCATTACCCCGGAACATAATCCGCAAATCGATTAACATCCAAGCTCCCAATTACTGCTGGGTAGACAGAAGCAAATGCCATAAAGAAACCTGCCCATAGTTTCACCCTGCCGTGGATCGAACCCGGGTCCGCTCGGTTGCGAGGCGAGCATGCTGACCATTATGCCAGAGCTCGCCATTATTACTATATATTATATACATAAACTACATAGATATAGGCGTTGGTTGCTGAGTCGCACAGACAAGACCGAATTGCACTGCTGCCCATGTGCAGAGTTGTGACTAGAGACTCCAGGCCTGTCGCCGTCGCCAATCGTCCGTCGCCATAGGACTTTTGGGGGAATATGGGTTTGATGATGATGAGAGGTATGATGTGTGTTAGTTGATTTATGTGGTGAGGCAGGAGAGCAGGCTGCAACCACACATCTTTGTTCTCCCTTTTCCTGATCCAGTGGTGCAAGTAGTTGCAACGACTGGGGAGAGAGAGAGTTGCAATGAACTGTCGATAGCCCAGTTTGTTGGGTTTTGCTTTAGCAGCCTGTCCATCAGACATTGCCTTCATCCGCCGGTGTAGTCGTTGGGTTCCCATGTTGGTCACGTCTACCGCCTATACTGTTCTTAGGGTCTTATTGGAGCTCTGTAAGCATGTCTGCCTGATGCGGGGCTCCACCACAGATATTTTCACTTGGGGTTTACTCCCGTAGCCTTATACCTACTAAGGTTAATCCGCAAGGCAGCAGGGGTGCTTGTGTCCTGCGCACACAGGGTGTTGTAATGCGTCTAGTGTAGCAGCATTATATTAGTGTTAAGGGACAGGCACTGCTTGCTTTCTCTCTATGAGCTACTGCCGCTGGGTAGCTCTCATGGTGAACAGGGAAGCAACTTGCATAAGTCCTCCCCCGCCAGTACAGAGCCTCTTCACCATCAAGACTCCTGCTCTGCCTCCTCGTGGCAACACACGGTAACTGCGTGCCTCGTGGGCCCAAGCTAAACTAGTAGGGGATCTTGGAGTAGCAGTGGGCCCCAGAGCGACGGCATTTAGGCCCACTAGCACATGGACACGTCCTGGCGCCTATGAACCACACACACACACACACACACACACACACTTACCCATAGTAACATCAGCACACATCTTAACGAAGGCTGGGTAGTAGGCGGACTCGGTCACCTCCAGCATGTTGGACATCATCCGTACCTGAGTGGAGGCAAGAGAAATAATCTTTTACCTAAACCTTTCTCCACAATCACTTTTTATTATTAAGGCTTATATTTGCCAGACGTCTAAAACACTTTCACGGCCATAAGAACGAACGCGCTGGAGGGAGCTGGGCTGAAATGTAGGCAGCTATCAAACAGGGAGGTACTACCACCTGGGAAGATTTTGGAAGCATAATGTGTTGTCTAATGGTAGACCCTGCTGCCATATGGCATCACGAAAATTGTGACCAAGTCCCAGGTTGCTGATCTGACTTTCTGCCACATTTACACACAATTGCAGGGTCTCAATTGTTTCTCTTATTATTGACAACACAACATACATACTGTATATAGTTTCTCACTCTTGATTTATTTATTCATTTTTTTTAATTGTTTGTGGTATAATTATTATTATTATTATTATTATTATTATTATTATCATTATTATTATTATTATTTTTTCCCCGCCTTCCGGACCCTGATGTGGGTCAGTGTCCTGTGCCGGGGTGGGCTAATCCTAAATAAAAAAAGGCTGAAGTTAAATGTATCATCGAGGTGCTAGGTCAAGTATTTTCGTAGACTACTTAGTTTTATGGTGAAGAATAATTGAAAAATGTTGTGAGAGTCATCCAATAAGCTGATAAACGTAATCGAATATAAAGTAGATTTTCCCCTTTTACCTTAGCTGTCATATACAGTTATCTGAGCGCGGATAAGATTGATACTAATAGTGGTCGAGAAATGGTAATCACACAACTCTGTTAATTACATTATACCCAAACAAAATAATTACATTATAATTATTATAGTGAAAACTTCTTTCTTAACGATTCTTTTTTGTAGTGGATAGCAAAGGAAAAGTATAGACACTAGCTTAACTAAGATTAGGTCTATCATCAAACACTGTTCCCTCCCACACGACCATTTTACCTCACCTTTTTGGGTCCATCGGGTCGTGTCAATAAGAGTACAATCAAAAGGAAGGAAAACATGATTAGAGGGCAAAACTGTGAACTGAAATTATTAAGCGGATGAATTTTATTTCACCGCTGGTATGGTTGTATACACCTGAGATGGCTCAATAATCTTAGGTTAAGGAAACATCGGCCTAAGGCTCTGGGGACGTCTTCCTTGTCGGGTCCAAATACCTGGACACCTCAGAAACAACTTATCTCGTACACCCACAACACAAGACAGACCAACACACACTACAACTTACCTTCTTGTCTCTCAGCTGGTTGGAGATGTGTGTGAGGTTCTCGCGACGTTTTCCCCAGAAGAGAATCTCTTCCAGGGGTTTCGGGAAGTAATCTGGGCCAGCCAAGTCCTCCGTGTCCTGTGTGAGGACCTCCTCCACCTGATGCACCCACTTGATCACCACGCCCTCGATGGCGCTCTTCAACTGGGAGTCCGTCATCTCTCCCCTGGCAGGTATTGGGTGATCACGAATAAAGATAAATTATTTGGATTATCTCACCTGAACTATGAACATTTTTGGTAACAGTGATTGTCAGCCATGGTGGTTATAACTACCATTTAGAAGAAGAGAATAAAATGTTGAATAAAATAAAATAAATCGAGTCTTAGGAAAAAATACTTCATGTGATGACCCATAGCAACTTCCATACCGAGTCTAGGACTATCAGTGATGGGATATATTTCCTAGAAATGAATTATGTGGGATACAAAGGGTCTACAGTATGTATGTACACCCGGCATCACTTCCACCTAGTACAGTGACTGGGGCGTAGTGAAATTTGGTAAATTGTGTTTGTTTACATCGTTATAAAACTACTGCAATGGCCCAAAGGAATCTCACTATAGTAGCCAGACTAAAGTTCTAAAATGAGCAGTCCTTTACTATGTCTGAATAAAATTCTTTTTGTACAGTTATAGTTTTAATACACATTTCTAAATAGAAAGTCATTGACTCCTATGTGTGGAGTGGCGATGTAACGTGACGTAAGAAGGGTCGGGGCAGGGGGATATGGAACAGGTCCACCAACATATCGTCTTTAGTGAGCAATCTTCAACATGCTTAAGTTAACACTGAGATAAGCCAATAAAACAGTATTCCTTCCTGTCTGCTGTGTTGGTGGACACAATTCATACTCTTCGTGTTAACTTCGGGGATAACCTGATGAAATGTGCCGTTGCATTAGGAGAAATATTATTTGTATGAGTTTGTTACATGCTAGAATAATATACTCCATCATGGCTTAAATGTGCATGTAGTGATAATGGTGCATGTGTGTCGAGAAAGTGATATAATGGTAAGGGGTAAATTGGGTGAAATGAGAACATTGCAGCCGGTTCTAGTCTCTCACCATGTTAAGCACAGAGGTTTACATCTCTAATGATTTAGGGATTCTCGTGACATGATATTTCTGTTTACAAAGTATGTTGAAAGAATATTCTTTTAACCAGTGATAAAGCTTCTAGTCTGATGGGGGGTGAAATATGACCCATAAGCCCTTTATTGTAATCTAGTGATGGTATGATGCAAGACAAACTTTTCTTTTATGTCGTTTCCTCGTATCTTTAGAATATTCTATGACCCAAACCATTTACACAAAAGTCGATCGATAGTATCAGAAATAGTCAGATGTGCACTATCCAATCTGTCTGGGTCGCTTCTGACCCATATACATTTTATGTCTGCTTTATTCCTTCTTGAGCTGTAATTGTGCCGGCATGTCTTATGATTATTTTTATTCATATTAAGCATACAATCGAATTTTAATTCCAGTTGCACAGTTTTATGCTCAGGTCCTCCCTGTCTGAGGAGGAAAGGGAAGAATTGGTCTCTGAAAGTGATGATAGTGATAGTAACCATATTTCAGAGAACAGGAAATACAGCAGTGACACTGACTAAAAATGAACATCAAGCCACAAACTTCACCTCCAGACAAGGAAACTGTGTGTGGCATGGGTAAAAGAGAAGTGCTTCAGTAAGTAGTCAAGCTGCGTAGAATGTGATTAATCAACAGCCTGGCATTACAATCTGTATTGTTGCCACAATAAGAGATGTAGCTAATCTGCATATGAACTTAACATAACTCCAACTTATTCCCCTCAGAGATGTTTGAAATGTCTAGGTTCAAGGACTCGTTGATATATATAGTATTAATGACTTACTGTGGATGAACAGCTAGTTCCATTCAGAGGAAGGTGCCCATTCCACCAACATCAGAACATAAGGAGTCTGCAATAGGCCGGTTGGCCAGTGCATGGCAGCTCCTGTCGAGAGTTACAACCACTCTATCGTCTATGAATCTATCTACCCTACTTTAAAAACTTTCTAGTGACCCAGCACTTACTACAAAGTTGCTAAGCTTGTTCCACTTGTCAACCACCCTATTTGTGAACCAGTTTCTGCCTATCTCCCTCCTAAACCGAAACATATCCAACTTAAATCCGTTGCTCCGAGTCCTATCTTGCTCGGATACTATAAGAACTTTATCTATATCTCCTTTGTTGATTCCTTTCACCCACTTAAATACTTCTATCCTATCTCCCTGCACTCTTCGTCTTTCTAGGGAATGCGAGTTTAGTTTCTCTTATCTATCTTGATATGGAAGGTTTCTAAGTCCCGGAATCATTTTCGTCATTCTTCGCTGCACCGACTCCAGTGAATTGATATCCATTCTATAATAAGGGCACCAGAAGTGAACAGCATAATCGAGGTGCGGCCTGATTAAGGCAAGATATAATTGCAATATGACCTCCGCACTCTTATTACTTACACTTCTAGATATAAAACCTAATACTCTGTTTGCCTTATTTCGAACAATATCGCACTGTTTTCTAGGCCGAAGGTCCGGGCTTTCAAGTACAGTACCCCTAGGTCTCTGTCACAAGTCGACTTCTCTAGGTTGATGTTGTTAAGGCTGTATACATTGACCGTATTTGTTCTTCTAATATTAAGTACGCTGCATTTGCTAGTGTTGAATTCCATTTGCCATTTTCTGACCACTCCTGCAGTTTATTTAAATCCTCCTGCAGTGCATTTGCATCCTTCCCTGAATTAATCTGCCTCCTTATTTTGGTGCCATCCTCAAACTTGCTTATGTCACTGCTGATCCTAGTATCTAGATCGTTTATGTAGATTATGAACAAGAGTGGGCCCAGTACTGACCCCTGAGGAACCCCACTAGTTACACAGCAACCACTCCGATTTAAGACCATCTACGCTGACCCTCTGTGTTCTATCGGTGAGCCATGATTTTATCCAATTAAAATCTTTCCCCTCAATACCATGAGCTTTAACTTTTCTCAGAAGACTCTGATGCGGTACTCTGTCAAATGCTTTACTAAAGTCTAAGTTAATAACATCGTAATTTTCGTCATTATCTACTACCTCATAGACTTTCCTAAAAACCGTCAGCAGATTTGTTAGACAAGATTTTCCCTTTGTAAACCCATGTTGAGGATCATAGATTAACTTGTTTTTCTCTAAATGCGATCGGATGCTATTTGCTATAATTGATTCAAGAAATTTCCCCAATACTGACGTCAAACTAATCGGCCGGTAATCTGTCTCCATTTTTTAATATGGGTACTACAACAGAAGGAAGGGCAATAATACTTGAGAGCCGCTGGCAGGTTTAAATTTAAATTCTCTAAAGTCTAACGTTTGGCCAGGAAACTGGATGTGGAGAGAATTACCCATTTGTTGCTTGAAACTGTTGTATAGCTTAGTCATCTGTAATATATCTTGTGACCATATTGATAAGTTGTAAACCTCTACACATATATACTTGTATTCACTGATTTACTGTAATAGCTCGGGGAGACAGAATGATGATAGTTATGATTATTATTATTTTTTTTTAATATTTTCTTTTACTATTTCATTTAACTCTTGTATTCCTTCTGCCCCCCCCCCCCAGTAAATAGTTAGCCCATATGCCTATGATTACTTAATTGCCTTTACACTGTTACTGGCATAAAAATCATCAAATAATAAAGAGAGGAAGAAGAGGATTATTAATAATAATTATAACAAATTTTAATAATAAGAATAGGAATAGCATAAAAAATAATTATTACAGGAGAAGTTCAAGTGGCTAACAGAGAGATAGTGTGCTAGGGGATGAGAAAATCAGGATATATGGCAAGAATATCTTCTAATACAGAGGGATGGTCACACCCGGGATAATATACGAGTCCTCCCTTAATACCGTTTACTTCGACTGCGGCCTTATGACTTCATATAATTAGCTACGCCACCTGAGTAATGAAGACCCATTAAGAAACTAACGTGTCTAGGGCGTGTCTCTCAGCCTTCTCCAGGGAGTCCATGCCAAAGGGTAGTGGTAGGAGCGTCTGACCCCGCAGCTGACCCCACATGCGGTAGACAGTGCCCCTGAGGGCGTACAGCTGATGCGACACGTCCTCACACACCATCTCCGGCCACCCGTTACGGTTAGCGGGATTCTCCAGCATAGGGATGATGACCTGGAAGGGAACGATAGATCTCATCTTCATTAGGTAGAGGAAGGGGAGAAAAGCTGAGGCTATTCATCGGATGTTGTGTAGACAGTGGCGTCGTGCTATAGGGGCATATGGGGGGAATAATCCGGGCCCCCCACTATTTTTTTTGGGGGGGGGTGGAGGGGAATTAAGGTTCAAGTCAGAAGAACTCAAGGAGAAATAAATTAGAAAGATGAAGGCTCAATGTTACATAAGTGAAGTTTTACTAGACATGATTCATTCGGAGAGTATGGCAGCAGTTGGTCTCTTTACTCTGAAAGAAGATTTAAATATATACGAACTTGAAATGATTACTATTCGAGGGCAAGGTTATGGTGAATGTACGACCATATTTGGATGCTATTATGGAGTCCACACCCGAGTTCGTGAGATTTGTAGTTCTGCAAACTTTGTGATTGTTGACACTTGCTCTATAAAAACAATCATCGGAATTGTTTTTGGCATCAGTTACTCTTTGTGAAGGTCCAGTCACACAAACATCCAAGGTGGCAAAGATCCGGATGAAAGGCTTCATTTAAAATGACGTATTAACAAACAAATAAGAGTACACATTACGATTTATTTCCGGCTCCATGTATTTATAATATAAAAATGTGTTAACAATGCAAAATAATTAAAGAAATGAACTCGTTCCCTGTAAAAAGAACGAGGTCACGGTATGTACAGTCGGGTCAAAAGTATCCATCCATCCCATTACATTACGGCTAAGTAATATTTGTGTACTTTACCTCCGTTGTCTAAATGACCCCTTCAGCCTGATGTGGTATTTTACTGTAATACTCAGGTGATACTAAGGTATTTCATTATGTGACTTACGTGAGAATACCAGTGAACCTCCTGTATTAGTGATACTTATGCTCTTATTCTTGTGTCTATTTTTGTTATCATTAACGCCTTGAAATTCTTGTGCTTTTGACTCTACCTGGCGTAGGACTGGCGTTTCGTCCAACCTGTCCAGTTGTTGAAATATGTATTTATATTAGTATTAAGATTAATTATAAGAAAATAACCACCACCGCGATTTTATTTCGTGCATGACGTCTCTTGTGTATAGAGTGGATAGGAGACGTAGTAGATGATGGGTGTCTGTCCAGAGTGAAGTTTCATGATCCCGAGTATAGTAAATGAAAATTGGAATCACCCACTCGAAGTCTACCTCTCACTCACTCACTCACCCACTCACTCACTCAAACTATCGGTTTTCGTCACTCATTCACCACCTTATTCTCGCCTCATCGTATCATTCCAACACTCCTGTTTCACCTCCTCAATCAGAGTAGAGAGTTGGTCCAGTGGCTGAGGCGAGATATCCCCGTAAATGACGTGGTCGCGGACATTGCTGGTCTCTTCTTCGCGTATAAGAGGAACATCACTCGATTTCAGGAAGTACACAGCCTTCGTTCTCAACCCGGCAGGCACCTCGCTTGTTGCCACTAGCTGGTTCGATAAGTTCAGACTCACTACCACCTGGCATAGAAAACAATGAATAAGTTAATACTGCAAATATGTGTATGTTAGAGTTGTTTATATGATAGTGTGTGTATGTAAACATGTGTATATGTGCTTGTGTATGTACGTACATATATTATGAAGATCAACACCCAGTACTTCAATAATCATCAGGGGCGTCACTACCGAGGATGACGTTCGAGTTATGTCCTCCCAACCTTTGATCTGTGGGGGAGGGGATAGCACCGCCCCCCACACTTCGAAACTGAGTAAATACCCTGAATTCTCTGACTCCCACTCCATAAAATTGAAAATTTCAGTTTCCAAGACTCAGTTTCAACCCAAAAGCGTCAGTGTATGTTAAAAGCTACTTCACGCTATGAGGCCTGAGGTTAAGCAGGTGTTTTCCCTTGTGGAAATACTTTTAAAGCTAATACTGAGCTCACCTGCAAGCTCATGTTCAGCAGAACTCTCGTTCAGCGAACTAAAATGGCAGAACACATACACAAGCTCGTCCATGACTCAAAGAAGGTTAAATCAGAGCATGATTTGTCACATACAGCGAGACAGTTTGGCTGAGCTAGATCCAGTGTTGCTCGCGAATCAGTTCATCAGCGAATTGGCAGACTCGCCACAAAGTGTTTGGCTGATATCAAGACAAACGAACAATGCTGATGTTTGAAACTACGGTAGTTGTAAATACAATCTCTTCTGATTCTTTATGTTAGAAATGGAAATGGTGTAGATTAATTTTTTTTATTGCTATCAAATGTCACTTTTTGCTTTTATCTAAACTAATTTACGTGAGAAAAAATATTTACGTTCTTGCCAAAACGTATACAACCTAACCCGAGTAAATATTTAGTTGTTAGTTCCGTTAGTATAGTGAAAAGTATTATTGATTCAGTCCTAATACTGCAGCGATGAGACATCTAGTTGTTTTGTATTTAAATTATTGCATAAATTTGGTTCACTTAATGCTAAGTATATATTTGATATACACAAAGAAGTTGTGCAAATGTTTCTTTGATTTTCCTATTGGTCGCATAAATATAGATCGTTTTCCAATTCATATAATGATGTTCTTAAAATATTATTTTAAGAGCATCATTATAGTCACAGCCTCACTGATATACGCGTATCAGAGCCTTACCGAGACTCGAAAGAGTTGGTGTTGTAATCTACCCAAAAATAAATGCAATTCCAGACCATTTTTAAGACATTACTTACCCGATAGTAGCGCAGACATTTATCACAGGATGTAACATAAAATTACAGTTTCCATTACTAGGGTTGTCCACATTTACTTCTAACTTTCCCTTCTGACACATTCCTTCAATCTCATCCCAGACATCGAATAACTTTCCTTACGAAGCACCCACAGCAACACTCGCTATCAACATCGCTTACTATATATGCCATCTTGTAGTTAAGTAGATTTCTGCTCGAGTTTAATATATATATTTTCCTTTCATTGAGAAAAAGTTAAAGCCTTACCAGTTCAGAATCTGAGTCGAAGAAGTTAAGTAGAGTTGAGCGAGTGTCCTCATTCTGGACAGCTTTGATCCATCGGTCAGCCTTGAGTCTCAGTGTCTTGTTGGAGTATTCGCCCAGCACGTCCCAGTTCTCCCTATCCCCCTCAGCACCTGCCATCCTGCCTCCCTGTTACCTTCTCTATTTCACTCTCTGAAATAGTGAAATGAGATGCTTCTGACTGAGGTGAAGTTAAATATCTTAAATCAAATTTACCAAATTGGAGAAACTGGTAAAGTTGCGGAAATGTGTTCCTACACCCGCTGTGGTAACCCGTGTCTCCAAATGGCCAACCTATAGGACTTATAGCAAACCTATCCACCAATCACGTCCTTCGTTACACTGCCAATACCCACTCATTCATAAATAGTGATGATAATACTACTACTGTTTCAATTCAATTTCGAGACACGGGTTACCACAGGGGGCGCAGGAACGCATTTCCGCAACTGTACAACATTAACGAAGAATGCCAGAAAAATAGAATTTAACTCCTGTACCTCTAATTTTTTATACGAATAACTGAAGGAAGTAGCATATATGCCGCCACTATACAAGTACATACGAGTTCCTAGTATGTTCCAAGTATTTTCAATATGGCCTTTTTTTTACGAGTATTTGCTTTTAAAACTTCCTATCATGATTAAGAAGTTTAAGTACTCTTAAAATGCTGTAAGTCAACCAGGCTTGAATCAAGCCCCAGTCCTCAGGGACATTAACCGCAATGTGACCCATACTTGATGGCTAGTCCAGTTTAAGTTAAGTGAGGCGATTTTTTATTTTTTGGATGGGGGGAGGGGAGGGGAGGGGCATCAAAACTGCAGCGTTTAATGAAACTGACAGGCAACGCGGTTTCATTATGAGGGAAGTTAATGTGATCCTTTGCTTTATGAGCGAACAAGACGATGTGAGATTATACAGTAGATGCTGGCCACTGCTTTTGCATCATCATCTTCACATTACTGAACTTATATTAGCTTGTATCAGTAACCTTACTGTTGGTTCTCATTTTATAAAATTAAATCAAACGAAACGATTGTACTGTACATACTGCAGAGGTTACTAGCTTTGTTTGTACCTCGTTGCCATGGTGACCAAGACAGTGGCAGCCGTTAACAATTCTTGGCCTCTGCTCATTGTTAGAGTTTACGTGTTTCTCTTTAGTTAGTTATGATATCAAGTATTATTGCTCAATTATGTAAACTTGGACAGCTAGCTACTTTAAGAATAGCGAGGAATTGCTACTGTATAAATAAGTTGGTAATATTCATATTTTCTTAATGTGTTCATTTATCTGTAATGATTTGAAGACATATTCCTCTATTACATCCAAAATGTTTCACCGAGAGAAAAAAGAATGGCCACAATCAACACTGTGTTAAGGTGTATGAACTGACTACGTCAATATGTGTATCCTTGAATTTTGTTTCTTATACTCACAAAAAATCATTAACACTTCCGGCAAAAATAATAGTACATAATATATTACTTAGGTTACGCACCAACAGGAATTCACATTATTTCTGTGTTCCGTCACAGAGAGACAAAGGTGAAGCATAATCGATAACCTGGTCTGGTGTGTGGCAAGAGAACAGTGTTAATGTCTTTGTATTCATTTTTTTTCTTCTGGCAGGAACAAGGAGCATATGTTTATGTGACAAAAAAATAGATAAAATAATAATAATAATAATAATAATAACAGTAATAATAATTGTAATAATAATACAAATAATAATAGTCATAATAGTAATAATAGTAATAGTAGTAATAGTAATAATAATAATAGTAATAATAGTAATATTAGTAATAATAATAATATAAATACTAATAATAATAATAATAATAATAATAATAATAATAATAATAGTAATAATAATAATAATAATAATAATAATAATAATAATAGTAATAGTAAGAGATGTAATAACACTTCTGTCACCACTAATAGACATATGAACAGTACTGAATGAATCAATCCTCTGAATTGGTGAACATGAACTACCACTTCAAACTTTTTTTCAGGTGGTCATTGGCATAATCTTCTCAGACTTTGCGTCTCTCTGGGCACCGCAACTTTTATTATTGACCATTCATCTTTACCTCTGCTTTCCGTGGGCCTCTTATCTTCAATCCTATTCCTTCGTATCTCTACCAACATCCCGTCGCCCTTAATTATATTCCTTACTTTTTCTCCTGAGGATGGTGGAGGACTGTAAATTCCTCTTGGTATAGTGTAGGCATCTTGAAGGTCTCGAAACAGAAACAGCGGAGAGGTGTGACGGTTTCAGGTGAAGGGTGACCTTGTACTGCTCCTCATGCAGTGGCCGTGTCTTGTCAGCTGACACCTGGCCTTTGTTGGCGTCCTGTTGCCATGGTAACCCAGAGAGATACGTCCCAGGTGCACACACACACACGATGGTTTTGCATGTGCTATGTGGACTATAGTCGATATCTATACTACTGTAAATCGAATCGTTATTCTTGTTTTTAATATCTTTAATATAATATCTTCAAGATAATCATGACCCTTGTTATGAACTAAAAGGTAGTATACAGAATAACATTTATTGTTTTCTATTGTTTGAGCTATCTTATTGATAATATTTGTAGCGTTATAAACGAAATAATAATAATAATAATAATAATAATAGACTGTCTTCAGTGTTCTTAGGAGACAAGCTACAGTAACCCTTAATAATTAACATTATGACACCTTGAACGTAAACGCAGAGTAATCTTAGTCTGAGGTTTGCTGGAGTGCATGTTGAAGGGCGGACCAACATTTTAGCTTAATGTCCTCGTAAGTAATATTCCTACATGTCTTAAAAAAAATTGCACACAGAGTATCTCAAAAAAGTATCTGCCAGGATGGGTCCGATGACTTCCGAAATGCTACATGCAACTTGTGATGTCCCGGGAGGGTTGCTAGGCCCTATGCGTGGCTCTGTGGCATAATGATCCTACTGCATTGGTAACCGAACATCGCATTAATTACGGCGAAATGAATACACATTGCATTACTTATGTTAAACTATATACCAAAGTAAATGTATGGCCCAATATCTCTCATACGTGGACAGATACTCTTATGAGATAATGTACAGTTCAATGCAGTCACGGACAAAAGTCTATAGACTCGCATACATCCGTAACTGGCACTTAAAATATGCGTGAAGAATACCTTCTGAATGGACGTTTCAAGAATGCAAGGTCGATGCAAAACTGTTGACTGTTTCTTTTAGGCTAAGGTATTGTAATTTGACATGAGGATACTGCTTAATGAATTACAAAGCTGCTTGATTAGTGAAACTTAAAATTCGAAGTAGCTGCACTTGAGAAAATAAACTGCCTCGTAATATGATATACTCACATTAAATATAAACGGAGCAAACTGAAAAATGACGAGCCTCTGCTTAACACTATCTTTGGTAGGAGTAACGTAAGAGAATTTTAAGAGAATTTGTCCAGTCGTAATAAAATCTTAGATATAAATTCTATACTATTTTGGACACAAGCTTTTAGTAATAGCTAAAGTGAGTGAGTAGGAGGTGATGGTCTTGGTGGTGGTAGCGGTGGTGGTGGTGACAGTGGAGATGGTAGTGGTGGTATTGGTAGTTGTTGTGGCGGTAACAGTGGTGGTGGTGACAGTGGTGATGGTTGTGGTGGTATTGGTGGTAGTGGTGGTGACAGTGGAGATGGTGGAGATAGTAGTGGTGGTATTGGTAGTGGTGGTAACAGTGGTAGAGGTGGTAACAGTGGTGGTGGTTAGTGGTGGTGGTGGTAACAGTGGTGGTGGTAGTGGTAATAACAGTTGTGGTGGAGATGGTGGTGTATTCTCCTCCACCACCCTCAGGCACTCAGTCTCTCATCACTCTAATAAAAAGATCCTCCCCAACACCTAAACGTCAGGAACACACACACACACACACACACACACACACACACACACACACACACACACACACACAAACTGTTCATTTAAAACAGGTAGTAGGCAGCTATCAAACAGGGAGGTACTACTGCCTGGGAAGATATTGGAAGCTTAATGTGTTGTCTAATGGTAGACCCTGCTGCCATATGGCATCACGAAAATTGTGACCAAGTCCCAGGTTGCTGATCTGACTTTCTGCCTCATTTACACACAATTGTTGGTGTCAGTTGTTTGTCTTACTTGGACAACACAAATATTGTTTCTCACTCTTCATCTTTTTTATTTTTTTATTTCTTTATGGTTCTTTATTATTATTATTATTTTTGTTACCATTGTCATTATTAATTTTTTTATTTTGTAATATTATTATTATTATTATTACTATTACATTTTCGCCCCCAGGCTCCGATGTGGGTCAGTGACCTGTGCTCGGGTGGGCTAATACCGTAAAAACAAATAAATAAATAAACTCACATTCCAGGCGGCTGAGGAAAAATCCAACAAATGAAACTCAACCTATTGATGACCTCTCGTTCACACAAACATTAAGGGACTCGTAGTTTTACACGGGGTAAATTTTGATCCATCAACTTGATCAGCTGACACTCACGGTTCTAGGTTACAACTGAAGAAGTTACTTGGCGATTTAATTACTAATATATATTTTCACTTATTAATTAGTTATAAAGTATGTATGTATGTATGTATGTATGTATGTATGTATGTACGCACCACCCTATGCACACAGAGGATGGTGTAATGAGTTTACAGTGGTAGCATTATGTTAGTGTTAAGGTGCAGGCACTGCTTGCTTCCTCTCGCTTTCAGCTGGCTAGCCATCCTGGTGAATAGGAAAGTAACCTTGTGCAAGTCTTCCCTGCTAGTACACAGCCTCTTCACCATCAAGACTCCTGTTGTGCCTCCTTGTGGCAACACACGGTAACTTGGTGCCTCGTGGCCCCAGGCTAGACCAGCAGGGGATCTCGGAGCAGCAGTGTGCCCCAGAGGGACGGTGCATAGGCCCACCGACAGGTGGACACCCTGGCGCCTACCAACCAATGCCCCGCTGCCTTGCGTATTAGCCTTGGTAGGTATAAAGCTACAGGATTAAACCAAGAGGCTGATTGGACACGGGAGGAGACTGACGTTCTTGCGGGAACAGTACTCTGTAACGGTTTTTCTTCGCCATTGACCGCTGCATCTTGTGCGATTGCACTTGCACTTGTTCTTGCTATTCAAAGCATTGCAACATTTCATCATTCATCAATTCATTCTAAAAGTGGCTCTGTCACTTACAATTTTGACACCTCACAGTACACAGGATGGTATTGTAGCATTCCTCCAACAGTTAGTGTGAGTATTTTACAACTGCGAGCTTAACTATTGTTCTTCCTGACGTGGTAGCTCTCTTACTTCTTTTTCTATGCTTGCCTGGCCGAGGCACCTGCTGCTGAATTTCATATTCAGTATTCGTGCTAGAGCCCCCCAGTGGTGCACCTCTGGAGTGGATTGTGTGTGTCTCAGTGGGGTCATGAAAAAACAGGCCAATCCAGTGACGTCTGTGATCGTGCAGGCACACCACTGTTCGGGGGGTCGTCCTTAAAGTATTTTTTGCACTGAGGGCCTTGCATAACCTTAGTGCACCAAAACTCGCCATGTAATTAAACAAGCAAGAAAGCTGCAAGAATTGGTTCAGCCACCCCAACCAAAACCCTCTGCTCGTCCCGGCAGGGACGAGCGAAGGCGGAAGATATCCAAAGACCCTGACTGCCGACCAACGACAAGCCCAGACAACGACTGCCGACCAGAAGCTACTCAACAAGGGCAGAAACATACAGAAGTATCAGCTGAAGGCCCGGTAATCCACTTTCCGGACTATTGACGTCTGCCTCGTTTGACAAGAATTAATGGATTCTGTGTACAGAAGGCCGTGCAGGGATCCAGATAGGGGGACGTGGAGAAGAGTCATTCAAGAAAAAACGAACTCAAGTTACTGTTAAAGACGCACAGCAAATGAGGACCGCCTTAGATCTTAAAAACTTTTCTTACAGCAAAAGTGGAACCATATATCCCAGCATTTCTCAACACCTGTAAGGTTGTAGTTACCAGCTACGAATTTCAGGGGATGATAATGACGAAGTAAGTACCACATGAAAGATCAGAGTCGTCGATGCTTACGTATTTATGGGAAGACCACAGACGGTGAACGCAAACGATCAACTTCTACAGCAGTACTCACGGAAAGGACTTTGTTAGGCCCATGTGTCTTGTTAGGATATGAGAGGGTTAGAATAATAAACTGCCATTTCATTCCCAATGCGTTGTTTTTAACTGCCAAGAGTTTGGACACACTGGTAAAGGCCTGCCGTAACATCCAGGTATGCTCAATGTGCTCAGACCGGACACAGGGACGTGACTGTACACAAACGGAGGAAAAATGCTTACCACTGTTCGGTCAGCATGCTGCCTCAGACAGGAAGTGCCCTTCTATCTGAGGGGAGTATGAATCAACAAGGTGAGAGCAGAAAAATTTGGACTACAAGGAGGCTAAGATGCAGGTGGAGTTGTCCTTGCAGGCACCAACACCTGGAATGTCCTTTGCATCCGCTGTATCCAAAAATACCTCGCCTCCCAAAATGTACTTGCACCACTGGAACGCAGACTGAGGCAAGACCATCGCAACACAGATTTGACCCCCACAATCACCGGTTATTCAACCACAGACGCCAAGACGAGAACACTAATACAACCGCAGGCCAATAACGAGACCCAAACTAACAAGTTATACCTGACCCCCAAACCCCAACAGACTCACGACCTATCTGCACAACGTAAGGAGAAGTCGTATTCACTAGAATATGATGAAAAATCAACACCACAACCATTCATTCGCCTTTTTTTGGGGCACCAGAGACAGGAGGCCTGGCGAGCAGAGTGCTGTGCTGGAGCCGGGAGACTGCTCATCTGATGAGGGATCATCTCCTGAACCCTCTTTCCCCCCATATACAAGAGGAAAAGAAAAATAAAGCCCAAAACGCTGACCATATCAACTCTCAGACTTAAAATTCGGTATCATACGGTGGAATTGCAGAGGTGCTGGGAATAAAACGCTCGAATTTTCATTTACTAATATCATTATTGACCAGGCCAGCGTTTTTTGCCTACAAGAGGCCTTTACTTGCGGGTCGACGACCCACCTGTATTTGACAACTACACGTCTACAGAACAACCTAAGGGGTAGCCCTATTAAAGGTTCATTTGCCCAGCAAAGAGTCAGTCTGAACGCGTGAACCTGCAGGCTGTGGCGTGCAGAGTTAAGATTCGGGCTGGCTTATTGCCATGTATCTGTTCACCTATACTGTCACTCG